TTTAGAGGGTTGGGCTTGAGAGTAGTTTTTAACTCTCGGCCTTGGGTTTGGGTCGTGAGTAAGGCTAGGTTGCAGGGTTCATTCTGGACTTGAGTCTTGAGGTTTAGGGTTTGTTTTTTGGGTTTAGCCTTCCTTGGCTTGGGATTCAGGGTTCAGGATCTTTGGGTTTTGGGGTTTAGGGCTTTTGTGGTGGGGCTTCAGCGTTTAGGTTTAAGAAGTTGAGGATGATAGAAGTACGTTGCCGGTACTGGGTTCAGGCTTGCAGGTTTAGGGTTTCGGGCTTAGGGCGGGAGCTCGCGAGGATCGAGTCGAAGGCTTGGGATTTCGGGTGGAGAGTTCAGTGGCTTGATTTAGGGTGTTTGGGTTTCGGGTTCTCTGCTTCAGGCGAAGAGTCTATGCTGAAGGTTGAGGGGTGGTAAGGTTTAGGTTTCAGGGTCTTAGGTTTAGGGTGTAGGGGTTTCTAGTTCAGGGCCAGGAGGTTCGAGTCGAGGGCACGGGCTTTGTGGGTTCCTGGAGAGGGATGCAGGGCTGGGGTGCTGAGGGTTCATCGTTTAAGGCCGTTCAGGGTTTAATTTTTGTGGTTCACGGCAAAGAAGTCTTTGGAAAGGGGGGAGGGGGGGGGGGGGGGTGGCGTTTGGGTTTCTGGGGTTCACGATTTGAGGCTACAGGGTTTTGGCTTCGCGGCTGGGCTTTAGGGTGGTTTAGGGTTTCGGGCGGAGGACTGAGGGTTTTGGTCGAGGGGGCAAAGAATCTTGCTGCGAGGGGTGGGGTAGCGTTTAGGTGTTGTGGCGGTTCGAGTTCAGGCTTCGGTGTTTTGGGTTTAGAAATTTAGGCTTTGGGTAAAGGGCTTGTGTTTTAGATTTCAGAAAACCCTGTTCAAATGTTGTGTTTGTAAGGTTTAAGGTTCCGGGTTTCAAGTTTGGGTTTCTGTGTTGGGGCTTTGGGGTTGGGATTTAGGGTCTTAGGGTTTAGGTTTTTGTTCAAAGGTTGGTGTGTGCCTTTTGTTTGTTTGTTTTTTTTTTGGGGGGGGGCTAGTGTGTTGAGGGCTTGGGCTGGCGATTTCAGGCTTCAGGGTCTAGGGGGTTGGGCTTAGGGCGGACTTTCGGGTTTAGGGTCTCGGGTGAAGGGTTGCTTCATCCTTTAGAAGCAAAGGCTTTAGGTTGTAAGTTCCAGGCTTTCGGGGTAACGGTTAGGGAATTTTTGGGTTTGGAGTTCAAGAGGTTCGAGACGAGGGCTCAGCGATCCCCACGACCATCTTCTTGAACACCTTGACCTCTGAGATCCCCTTTTCAACAGACTCCTAAACTGAAGCTAAGGTGCCGTTCGGCCGACCTGCGGCCCGAGTCGCGATGCGTCCACCAATCCGAGTAGACTCGCGGCGTTCCGATTCTCCACTTCGTGCGATCCGTGGCCCTGCGATCCGCTTTGCATCCGGTGCGATCTGAGTGACGCCATCATCCCATGCGTGCCAAGCCCAAGCATAACTAATGCCAACAGTCCGGCTCCGGCAATGCAGACAAACTTGCATGCACAGCTGCAAAGCACAGCCGTGAGGTGCACCTAACTCCACTACACCCCCCCTTCTTCACAGTTCGTCATTGAGTTTTCGCTCGAAATAGATTCCAGGTGTTGAGACAGTGAGGCCTGTGGAACAGAGAGTTACCCACTTCTGGCCCAGGCATCGATAAGTGTCAGCATGCCTTCAAAAGTTGCCTCCGTCGGTTCCGACGACTCGAGCATGCAGAGTGTGTGGGGCCTAGAAACGGGAATGCAACAGCAGCTGCCCGCCACGGATGCAAGAGTTGAAATCGTCCATGCTCCCAGGTTTCCGTGCAGCCTCGAAAACGGTTTTCGCTGCCCGTACCTGCACGCAGCAGAAGGCCCTCCAGGGGCCCTCACGGAGTAGGAGCGCACAGGGAGAGCATCTCATGGCTCGGCGGCGTCAGGAGATCTTCGGCTCGCAGTGTACACTCCGTCGGCACCACGGACTCTGAGGCCCCCCGGAGTCTCTTCTTGGAGCTTCTTCGGAGTATGATGAGCCTTGTGGTTTTGGCACGTCGCAGCATTCAGGACAGCATGTCTTCAGCTTCAGCCGCTGGCGGAGTCAACGAAGAGGATACTGGCCGTCGCCGGGAGCTTAAGTCGCACTCACGAGGTCTTCTCGTGTCGCTTGAATGCCAATATCTCTGAGGTGGTTGGGCTTTCGCGTCTGCCTTACCTCTGTCAGTCTTTGACGTTACCAGCCTGACTGGCCTGAGATCAGGCCTTGGACTCATTCTTCGACAGGGCACGGGTTGTTCGTCCCGAAGGCAGGGTCATGCACAGTTGAAGAAGGCATTGGGACGCATTGGGTAGCGTAGAACCGTGCGAGGTTTGGCATGAGGTTACCGCGTGGGTGCGCCTGCTTTTCGTCGTTTGCTTGCGGAGGTTCCTCAGCGGTTTCCACAACCACAGCATCCTCTCGTGCCTCCAGCCCTTGCATGGCTACGCCATCCGCTTCCTCGCCCGCAGGCAGGGTCATTCACGGATAGCCGGATACCTGTTCAGGCGCAAGGATTGATTCTGGGCTGTGAGTCGCAAGCTAGATGTAGGTTGGCAGGTGCGAAGAGTGGCCTGTGATTTTCTCTCTCAGCGTAATATAAGATATCACCAGAAGCCAAGCGCAAGAACACACAGACATCCCGGCAAGTTTTGCAAACCCGACGAGACGGGTGGGCATGACCGCTGCGGGTGCAGGTCCGGACGCTGACTGCACCAAGGCCCTGATCCTGTAGGGTTGTCTTGCATGACCGTTGCAACCGTTGCCGACTAGTCACTAGTGTAGCAACTGTAGTACTGAAAGGATCATGGGACCTAGTAACTGAGGTTATAAATACGGTAACTCCACTGACTCTACTTATAAGATTTTTAATCCCACTTAAGGTACTTGTAACCTGACTTACAAAGTCCCGTGATCCTCCAAGTCTGCTGCGTGTCGAGGGCCGGTAAATTCGGAAGATGAGCATTCAAGCCGAATACTTCGTCGAAGTCTGGAGTTTCTCCCCACACACCCGAAGCCAAAAACGCTGCTGAATTCACGCAGACTCTCTACTGTAGCTGGCAACTCATATGTACAGCTAGTCAAGCCCAACTTGGATAGAGCTGGTCGTGACTGCAGACACCTTCGTGCAAAGGATCTGTTACAGTAGGCTAGCTTTCTTGAGGTGTAGCGGCTGACGTCTTGAATGTTGTTTCATGCTGCCGTACTTTGCAACTTCATAGTGTTGACATTGTATCCCTGGATACCCTTTTAGCACCCAGTAGAAGTCTGTGCTGTTCCCGAAAGGTGTACGGTTGTAGCATGCTCTCGTCTCGCTACGGGCGGGTACTAGAAGGCTTGTTCGATGGGCTGGGTGCTTCTGAAAAAGATTCCGAGGTCGCAAAGCCTACCTTGGCGGGTGCAGCATGGGCCGTTGCCCCGTGTGTCGTTGATATGCGCGAAAGCCAGAGCGGACTGCTCATTTTTAGCTGGAGTGATGCCAGGTCTTGACGCAACTCTGCAAAGAGACGGACCAAGAGCCGGACCCCGATCAGCCTCGTGCAGCTTTCGGAGTCCGGGCGAGACAAGACTCGGCCTTGCGCGCAAGAGGACCCTGCACTTCCGGCAACGGAACAGCCTTCGAGCGACCCGCCCACCGACCAGGCAAAGGAGGGAAGCGACTTTCTGTGCAAGGCAGGACAAAACCCCCGGACGGACAGGTGGCCACGAGAACGCTCCGAGGATCGTTAATGTCTGCAGAGGTCGGATACTTGGAGGTGCTTTCTTTACAAGGTCGAGGTGGTGGCACCGTTGCATTGAGTGTTTGCTTCAAGTCTCTTTCGTACACTGCCTTTCAATGTCGTTGCTGCAACCCAGATCCTGGCCCACCTAGGCCTTCAAGTTCTGCTTCCCTCAGGCCTGCCTTCCTCCGGGTGCAGACCACTTTGTCGCCTCGCATAGGCAGCATCTTTGTCACCACGTGTGAGCATGTCAGGACATTTGTGGAGTCCCGCTGGACTCAAAGGCGGCTCTCAAGGAGTTGCAGCAGCCTCCGCCTGCATCGATGCATGAGATGTGAGCCAGACGTAGCCAGGATCCTGGATGGAAGCGATCCTCCAATCGAAATCGCCGAAGGGCCACAGCTGTTTGAGGCATCTGTAGCTTCTCTTCGGACTCTTGGGACTATCTTTAAATCCTTGCAGAAGGCCTGTCGATGGAAAGCTTCAGAGGGTGCTGCCTTTCGAGATACAGAACAATGCAGGGAAGAAATGCACACCAACAAGGAGCTTCCTCTGTCTGTTCTATAGTGTACCATCAGATCAGAAGGTTGCAACAGACAAGACTTGCCAGTTGTGTAATCCGTTGATGTGTTGCAACCTTCGTTCTTTACGGCTTCCGGTAATGCACAGTGCACGACGCAGTGCCGCAAGTGCTATTGTCGTTCGATTTCTTTACAATTGGTTTTTTCAACCATTACATGTGGTCGCTCGACAGAAGCTATGCGGCAACGGAACGGATGGCAGAACAGATTGGAGCAACTTCGCGCTGAGCACATGACTCCCCCCCGTAAACATGAGCAGCAGACCTTCCTAACGTGCCAAGGGTTGAAGTCTCAGCTCCAGTCAATCTGTTCTGTCATGTGCGGCCGCTGCTATAATGCACATGACTCGGCATGGAAGGAATCTGTGCCGTTTTGGTCCGAACCGCTAAGGCCCCATTGCTCACCGGAGCACCTGTGAAGGCGAAGGAAATCAGGACTAGAGTGGAAGGCAGAGGCTTCGATGAGAATGGGGCTGGGCAAGGTCCTGGGACATGGCAAGTCCACGTCCATAGACAATCCACTCGAGAAATCGGCAGACCCGAATCGACCCGGATATCCTGGGCTTCGCGGGTCTGCACGTTCCTCCTGTTAGCTTCCTGTGCTGTCTCGCCTTGAGCCAGTGATTTTCTTCACTTCTGTGGTCGCATGTTGGAAACGAAGATGAGCTGCTCCAAGCACCGTGCTGTGGACACTGAAGGGTTGGCCCGAGTCAGCTTGTCCCTGTAGGCGGGAAAAGATTTGCGCTTGCACTTGTCACCGACGCAGACGGCTGGCTCCCAGCAGTGTGAGCCTCGCGCCAGCCCGTGGGGACATGGAGAGGTACCACCTGCAGAGCAACGTGAGCCCGTCTGCGCGATGTTTGTTTGGCAGGTGGGAGGAGAGTGGAAGTCCTGGGATGCTTTCTCAGGGGATTTTGAAAGTGCAAAGTCCTGGACCCGAGCCTTTGACTTTGACATATGCAGAAAGCAAGGTCGAGTCTGAGTCCTCCGATTCTACCAGCGGTCGCTCGCAGGAGCAACGCACCCGTGTGCACCAGCAATCTGATTTGATCTGATGATCTGCAGTTGTGTAGTTTGATGCAGGCGAACAGCAGCTGCTTTTCTTCTTCTTGACTCTCCCGGAGAAGATGAGCAGGCCTTGCGAGGAGTTGCACGAAGAACTTCCGTAAGATATCGACATGCCGGAGCTGTGACATCGGGCAGGCTTTGCTGACTCTTTGTAGCCAAGGCGCAGCCCTGCCAGCAGAGCATCACTGAGTCGCGTGCGACAGTCCAGGACACGATGATGCCCAGACAGTTCCCGGCCACAAGCACCGGCTAGCTTCAAGTTTCAGCGGTCAGTGTCCAAAGTCAGCCTTGCAAAACCTTTCTTTCCAACAAGCAGCATATGCAAGAAGCTGTTAATTCATCGCACACTTTTGCTGGCAAGGTCACGGAAGCCACTCTGACGAAGCGAAGGCAGGACTCTGCTCGCGTGCATGCAATGACCCGCACTTCTCAGTACAGAGCAGGAGTCATGAGTGTGCATGTGTACCAAGTGTGACAGCAGCCGTTCCATAATTATGGATAGTACAAGGCATCCGTTCCGAACGCTCTCGATGCTTCCCAAGCACTTTCCTTTCCTGTAGGCTGTCGCCGGAGATCTGGGCCAGTTCCTTCATGACCCATCAAAGATCGCAGATGCTTCTGCCGCAGTCTTACAGTGGCGTGTAAGAGGTGTCCAACTCTTGCTGATGCTCCAGTAGTTCCACCATTGTCCAATGCTCGAGGCATGGGCCAAGCTGATGACCGATGCCACCTGGCACGCATGCCAGCTTGGCCTCTGTGAAAGTCCGGTCGCAGTACTAGCAGCACATCTGCCGTTTGTTTTGGCGGTTTCTGGACGGAGGAGTCCTTCGGCATCCGTCGGCAATGTTGCGACAACTACGAGCTTGATGTAGCCGTGAAGTGTAAGTTTTTCGCATGTTGCAGCTGGAGCGAACTATTTATGTAGGCAGCTGCAAATTCCGACTTGGCGTCAGCTTCTAGATTCTAGATTTCCACCACGAGTTGTGGGAGCTTTGCAGGGGCTCAAGATGTAAGGTAGCCGTGGTGGCAAACTTCGGTGTACTGGCCCCAATCTGTGGCTTTCCTGACCGGCTGTTGCTTCAAAGCACATGATGATCTTCTGTGCTCCAAGCGAGGCATTGATTCTGACGTTTCTCGGGGCCGCCTACCATGCGTATGGCTATGTCCAACTCCGCAATGCCCAGAAACAGGCCGTGACGAACGAAGTTGCCTGCCTTCAACGGCAGTGCCATATGATGGCCGTTTGCTGGATGAAACTGTGGCAAGAAGCTTAGCTGTGACCAATGCTCTGTGGACAGGCATCTCGCTCGCAAGGAGGAGGCGGAGGACACCATTGAGTCCGAGGACGGCCTGCCATGTCATGACACGTTCCGTGGCTACAGCCTTCAGAGGCGCTCCTGCCGACCGTCAAAAGAAAGACGGGGAAAGTGAGCTCTCTGACATGATTGCAACGAAGGACTGAAGCGTACTGTGCGGCGAAAAGTGTCCGGTCGGCAGCGATCTAATTGCCATCGATAGTGTCGGTTGCGGAGCCTCCGAAGGACAGCTCGCTTATGACTGCCAACAGTTGTTCTGTCTGTAGATTAGTCCAGGCAAACAAGTGCGGTCGAATTGCCTTCGGGAACAATCTTTTCGCCATGTTCGGGTCAGACATCCTCAGGCTCCTCCGATCAGCTTTCAGCTGATGTCAATGCTGGCCGCATGCGGACGAGGCGAATCACAGCTTTCAGCTGACGCTCATGATGCTCGAGGGTTGGTTGTACTACGGCTTTCGGCCGCTTGTTAGGATGTTGCCGGTCGGTTGCACCGATCTTTTGTCTGAGTGGCCCATCATCCACTTGGTAAATACCGCCGCAATTCCTGACAAGAAGACACTAGAGCATGGTCACCTTGCCCAACATGGGCGGCTGTCAAAAAGTGGAGGGGAAAAGTGGATCGCCACAAACTTTTCTCCCAGCCGAAAACTGAAAGGCCGAATCCCGCCAGTATGCTGGGAAGTTCCCAGCATGTTGCAGCAACACCTATCACGAAAGCTCCCCCGGAGCGGGGAGCTTCGTTTATTACCTCACAGCATGAGCCTGGAATTCAGGGCGTGTTGGGGGTACGGGAGTTTGGCATGTTCTTTGTAGCTCTCCCCAACACGCGTCTGGCCAGAACCGCGTTTCGGCCGGGTTTCGGTAGGAGAAAGGGAGCTTTCCATGAGCTCTGCTTGAGGCTGCCATATGGTACAGCGGTAAGCTTGACTTGATCTTTGGTGGCCGTCTGGTAGAGCAGCATATCTAAACTTAACAAAGCCTCCCAGAGCGACATGGCGTTTTCCAAAGCCACGCGCTTCCCCGGCAGGGAAACAGGGCTTTCTACGCCAGGACCTGGGGCGTGCAACCCTCGAGCCGGCCTCAGGCTGCTCCGCTGATTGAGTCTGAAGTTGTGTGGCGCATTGTAGGTATGTGTAGATTCTCGCTACGTCTGGAATGGCAGGCTGCCGCGAGTGGTTACCTACCGCTTCGGGCAGCCGGGCTTGAGATCAAGAGAGAAGGCCGAATGGCAGCCGTCATCAGGCGTGAAGGACAAGGCCAAAGTACCTACAATTGATGTTTCGAATCTGCGGGTGACAAGGAAGCTCGGCCATGATGGGCTGGGCATTGTGTACCAAGGATATCTGGAGGGCAACCCAGTGGCTATAAAACAGTAGAGGCACCAGCCCAACTTGTACACCAATCCAGAAGACGACCGAAAGGCTTCGCACACGGAAGCCAGGTTTCTAGAGAGCATGAAACATCCGAATGTAGTAGTGGATGTATGTTGTTTCGTCATGGAGGACGGAATCTTGAATGGCTTCGCAATGGAATTGCTTGGAGAAAGCCTCCAAAAGTCTTCCAACGAAGCCCATTTGAGCCACCCTCGGCTTGCGGCTTGCAAAGGACAAGCGGTGGAGGGTCTGGTAGGGACCCCGGGGAGTACACCCAGAGGTGGTCGAAGAGCAGATCCTGGGGAGCTGTGGGAGCGGATGAGGACTGCATTGAGTACTTGCTCAAGCAGGTTTGGGCGAGGATTCAGGACCTCAACGGGGGAGAGGGCCTCCATGGCATGCTGGAAGCGCATTTGGATATCAAGCCTGCCAACCTTTGCTGGAAGGATGATTCTTGCTGTTCGATCAAATTAATCGATTTCGACTCCGCCCTGCAACTGACGCACCACGACCAGGTCTTGCGAAGACTCCATGGCGACCTGGGCGTACAATCCCCGGAAAGAAAGGCAAAGAGCCGTTGCTTCGCGCATGCTGCAGACAACTGCATGACCGGTCACATTTTCGATAGACTGATCGGAGAAAGACACGGCAATCGCGCAGAGGACCTACGAGCACGTGCCTTGCGCTTGCTGCGACCTGCAGGCCAAAGGCCTTCCATGCAGGACATGCTGCAGCATTAATACACGCCTATCGAAGATGACGAACCTTCACCGACAGAGTCGCTGCCGGTGTTGCTGGGCTCAGGGGCGAGTCAAGATATTCTGTCAAAGATGTTTGAGTAGGCTCGCTGCATGCTGCAAGGGTTGATCGGTTGATTATTGATTCTCGTGCCACCTTTCAAATTGCATCGAACACACAGATGACACTCCTCAAAGGTTGCAGCTCGGCTGTCTTGCAATGGGACCCTTTCCTTGTTATGTTGTGCAAAACCACAGTACCTTTCAACGACACCTAAACCAATGTGCGCATGCTTGTGCATGCTTCAGCCTGAGGAGTGCTGCCGCTTCGCCAAGTTGGCCCGACATACAGGGAACTCTGGTGAGCGCGCATGAGGCAAAGGTGAGCTTGCGCAAGGGCTACTCGAATCTCTTTGCGTTGCTGGCTTCTGCGGTGCCACCAGGCTGGTTGAGACAAAGAAGTTCGTAACAAGCCCTTGCTGCCGTGCGAGTTCCACGTGCTGTGGCGAGTGCGCGAACTGCGAGGCTTCCATGTTGCCGACGGAAGGACCGTTCAACACGGAAAGACAGCCGCTGAGCTGCGCGCTCGCAGGTCATGCCGCATCTGCAGACGGCAGACAAGCGACCCGACATGAAGACCATCCTGAAACGATTAGACATGCCAGTGCTACATGAGCCCCGCTTTTCCTTTGAGTCCGCAAGCCTCCCACGGGGCCCCTGGCAAATCCTGTCCAGCGTGGGAGACTGTAGGGCAAGACAGACTCTCCGATGGTGATCAAGCGCGCATCGGCAGAGCTTGTGCAAAGGCTAATGTGCGAGGCTTCCATGTTGCAGGCCGAGGGACCGCATTGCGTTCAACTACGGCCACGACAAACGCGAGGTGCTGCACACCACGGATGATGCGCGTGTGAATGTGCTTGTTTCTCGCCTGTGGCGCAGAACATGCAGGACTCAAGCATGAATGCTGCTGATGGACGGTGCCCAGAAGTGGGATGTAGCCGGTGCAAATTCGCGCACTGCACAGTCGGACATGAGCGAGATCGATCTCATGTTGTCTCGGTTTACAGCGAGGACCTGGGGACCGACCCGGATTTCCATAATATGGGCGCCTTCGATTGCATCGACGTGTACGACATCTTCTTCCTTGCCGAGGTAGGAGATGGAGGCCCACGAGATGGCCGACAATGACACGGCCATCTGCGAGAGCCAGTGCTTGGGCGACGAGTGGGCATGAAACGCAAGGCCATGTACAACCTCAAGCACCCCTGGACCATGGCTGTGTGCAATGCCTTCCACAGCCACACCATGGACGGCGATGATTATTTACGGCGATGATTATTTACAGTACTATGGATGCGGTGTCAGGCAAGATCTGCCAGCTTCGTTCAATTGCTTGGGCAACTGCACGGGGCAACTACCAGACCTACAACTGCAGGGCATCTCCGCTCACTGTTGGAAACTTTAGCCGTTGAGCTGAAGACCAGCGGCTCTTCGGATGCACGAGATCTCGCGAAAGCTCGCTAAAAGTTGAGTATGGTGCCTGGTCCTGGCACCCGATATTCCTTTCTCGTCCACGAAAAGGTCGCAGACCTGGCCATTTGTGTTTTTTTTCCATTTGCAGCGTTGGTGTCCCAGTCGGACGCTCGCCTAGCAATGAATTCAAAAAGGTGAAACACGCAAACTCATGGTGTCGACACTCGGGACTGCTGTACTGCGAAGCCGGCTTCAGACAACCATGTAGCTGCAGGTCCTAGGGCCTGTCGAATCCCAGGGCAGCGTAGGACAACTGGGCGCGATTTCGCCATCTCGATGCTCTCAGCAATGACGCGACAAGCTCCTTCGAGCCAGGTGCAGTAATCCACGGGATCTTTGACAGGGATGGAACACGCGCCAAACGGAGGTAGCCTGCGCACTGGTGGAGCCGAAATGTCGCGGGTCCAAGCATGTCCCGAAGCAACAACAGGCACCGGCTGAACAGCTCCCCATGCTGGGAGGACATCAGCAGGGCATTCCCGACATGCGGGTAGCGGTTGCACACTGTCGCAGAAAACCGCCGGATCAAGTAGGAGAAGCAGGTCCGCGGCGGCAGCGCCCGCCCAATCCTGTGCGTCCGGGCATGTGGGCCAGCTCTGAACAGTGAACCGCAAGACCTCGAGCGGTGCAACATGATCCTCCAAGAGTGTCCATAGCAAATCACTGTCAGGGGAAACGGCCCCGAGAAGGCTGTCCAGCAGAGGCCCACACACCTCGTCAGAGGGGACCAGTGGGGCATTGCACACAGTCACATGTGCAAACGGGGCAGGCGGGGCCTGCGAGTGCCCGCGTGGGGGAAGAGGCTCCGAAGGTTGACAGGATCCCCACTGTGCACGGCATCGCTCACTGGTCACAAGGTGCCGGCGTAATCGCCCGGTTGATGCATATAAGCGACCACACCCCGAACAAAACCGGTCTTGCCCTAAGAGAAAAGCTTGAGACCTATATCCATGGCATCGAGCGGCGTGCCCAGACCAGGCAACTCTGCTGGCAAAGGCTCTCCGGCAGACAAGACAGGCGTCATCACAATGGCGTATGCCTGGCACCTCCAGACCGGAGTGAGCACCAGTAAGCCCTCGATGCAAACCTTCCAGCGCAGCAATGACAACGTGCCGACATCCCTGGAGCCGCACTGCACGCTTAACGAAGCCCTTGAACTTACCACCCCGACGCAACAGAAGGTCTCCCCAGGCCCCCCAAGCATCAGCAGGACTAGGCAAGCCCTCCGCATGCCCAACCCACGTGTGGAGCCAAACAAGAGCATCAAGCATACAAGCAGCATGCGGGCGGTCAGCTCTCAAAAGGGCCCACAGAACATCAGGTCCCTGCCGCATCATCTGACCCAGATACAGCAGTCTGTGCATCTTGAGAGTGGTGTCCGGACTCGGTAACCCCAGCAAAGCAAGGCAAGTGTGGAAAGACACGTCCTGCTGCTGCTGATGCTGCAAGCCAAGAAGGGGCCGATACAGACGCCAAAGCAAACCGGAGAACTGTCGGTGCTCAGCCTGATTGAGCGGCGGCCATGAGCCTGCTCCAAAGAGCAACTTAGGCAGCACCGATGCCCGGAGGATCAAGGCTTTGCGTCCCACAGAAATGCGCGGTGCAGGAAAGACTTTGCGCTGTCCCTCAGTGAAGGCCGCAAAAGCCTGTGCAGCACGAAAGGCAATCTCTGCCTTCATGCTGCCACGCGGGGCCTGCTGGGATCCCAGATGCTTGTATCCCGAGACCAGTGGCACCGTGACTGCCCCGGTGTTGTCAAGGAGGACAGGCAAAGCGCCCGCGCATCCGGTGTGTCCAAACAGATGCTTCTTGGCTGTCCTGGACCCGCAGCCTGCTGGGGCAGTCATCAATGCTGTTTTCAACGGTCCATACGACAACTGGAATCCATGTTGAAGGAAAGCCTCCGCCGTGCATCCCACCTCCATGGCCATGCCAGTGACAAGCCGGGAATTGTCCTCAGCCACCCTCATAATGGCAAGGTCATCTGCCCAAACCACCTCGTCAGGAGAGAGGGTGGGCTCTGAAGTACATTCCGCCAAACATCGCTGGCCATCCCACGGAACGCTGGGGGCCCGGGTATCCCTGGGAAGCTCGGCACGAAGCTTATCGCGGCACTGCAGCACCCTTTTCACCACCAGCGCAAAGAGCACGTCGGCCCAGCTAGAGCCGTGACGTGTCCCCCGAGTGGTAACGACCGGCGTGCGGTCGCCGCGCACGATGAAAAATGACCCTTCGGTCATGGCAAAAGCAATGCTCTCTGTCCAGGCATCCGCACCAGCCTGCTGAGCAGCGGAGTCAGCGGAGTCCTCCGCGATGTGCGCGCACAACAGAGCCCGGTCTTCTTCCGAAAGGTGCAATCCTGCAAGCAAAGCTGGGTCAACCACCGTTTGAGCCCCGCACGGCCCAGCGGCGGCGAGCTCCCGCACTGTGGAGTAATAAGCTGCCGTGATGTCTGCGAAAAGGGTGAGCAGGTCACACCCTGTGAGGCACAAATGCGATGCACAGCGCGCACGATCTGGGAGCCGAAGGCCACACTGCCACCAGGCTTACTGCTGAGCTGCAAGGCGGATGAAGACTCCTGGTAACACTTGAGCGCAAGCGGCCTAAGAGCTTGGTGCTGAGCCTTAGCCCACGAAGACAAAAGCAGGATAGCGCGGTACTCCGCGCAATCCGCTTGTGAACCTCTGCCCTTGTAGAAAAGGATAGCCTGGCCCGACTTGTGCCCCAAGGCTTCCGCCCCACGAAGAGAAAATTTCATTAGAAGCGGAAACAGGAAGGCAGCAATCTCAACTGGAAACAGCTTGCCCAATTCTGAAGGCACCCCATCCGGGCCCGGAGCTTTTCGGGATCGGCTAGAGGCAAGCTTCTGCTGCAACGTGACAGCGTCAGGCAGAAGTGACCATTGATCCGGGCTGGGCCACATCGCAGTAGGAACGCTTGGGGACTCCACCTGAAGCGCCAGCTTAGGCAACGAAGATTCAATGCCGCCTTCCAAAGCACCGAGGTGCTCTCGCCATCGACTATGAGTAGACTCAACATCAGGGCACACCTCTCCATTGAGCTGCAGCAGCCGAGGGACCGGTTCCGGCTGGTACGGCTTTTTCCGCCTATGCCGCAAAAGCCGATGCACAGCATCAAAGATTTGCACCGTAGGCGCCGTCTCGACCTGATCAGCGAGGGAGCTGACATATCGATCACGATCTTCACGGCACGCTCGCCGGAGGGCCCGACACTGGGTGTCCAGCTCCTGTCGGTACCAGGCATCCGCCAAGATGGCTCGGCAGATCCATGCCGACGGACCCACGACTGCCCAAAAGTCCGCGATGCGACCACACCAACAATCAAAACTCACAGCAAGAATCTGCCGTCGGTGCTGCTGCATCAAGCGATGAAAATCTCGGCGCAGCTTCGTAACTGTGCGCTGAAGCTGCCAAGTGGGCTCAGTCAGATAAACATGGCGAGGGCGCGCAGGCGCTCGGCCCTGAAGAGCACCCAGGTGTCGCTGCACATGGTCAGTGACAATGGCAGCGTGGGCATGTGCCGAAACGTGCCACGGCACTCGCGGCACATCTCGAAGGATTTGGCGGACCGCATCTGCATGTGCAGGGTCGGTCAAAATCTCACGGGGAAGGCGGCGATCACGGACGCGGCCAGCATGCCTGGGATAAGCGAGGGTAGCATGGACATGCACAGCGACAGCGGTGTGGTCGGAGACTGCGCTGGCAACATGCACGTCCGGCAGATTTTGAGAACTCACACCACCGGAACCCCAGCTAATAGGCAATCCAATGAAATCCAGACGACACAGGCGGCCGCCCCGTTTCTGCACATATGTATGGGTGTCCCCTTGGTGGCACTGGCCAAAGGTGGGCCATTTGTGTATTCTCACATACTAAATCTTCTAGGCTACCGTCGACAAAAGAAATTCATCGGTTTGATTGGCATTCCTTCGCTGAAACTTGTAAATGGATGAAAGACTGTGTGCACCCCACTGCATCATCGTCCTCATCGTCACTCTTTGTCCGCGCCCTCCTCCTCCTCCTCCTCCTCCTCCTCCTCCTCCTCCGACTCCTCCCTCCTGTGACTCCTCGTGATGCCGCTCCTTGTCAGCGCTCGTCCTCGTCACCACGTTTTTTTTGTGGGCATCAGCCTCAGCACGAACAGTGGCACAAAAGATCTGCAAATTGCCATTTTATCGATTCAGGAAATGGCCCCCTTTAAAGCTTCAGCTTGCGAGGGAGTTCTTCAAGCCTTCTTGCTGGTAGATACGCTGTGGCAGGCTGCATGTCGGCAGAATACCTTGGCCGCTTGCTCCAAGCTCCTGTTGAGGTTCCTTCTTGAAGTCATGGGCCGAACATTCGCCGGAGCCAGTCCGGCGGCCGACAATTCAGAAGCAGCTTTCCATCCAAAGCTATGGCAGACGACATGTCGGGCCTGTCATTTCTGTCCGAATCTAACGCACTGCTCTTCACAAAAGACAAATTACCTTGCTCAGCTGCAGTCCAGGGAGAACAAAGCACAGATAAAAAGCCAGTACGTCATGCCTCTGAAAAATGGCGGCGCCCTTGCCGGATCCGCATGACACTGACTTGTCGGCGCAGGGAGCTTAGAAATCGACTTGCGATTGCGGTGGTACTGGTAGCATTCATATTGGGGTGTCAGGTTTCGCCTGCGAGAGTAAGGTAGAACTGTTTTTGCGACACTTTGCGACCAGCGTGAGCGGCAAGGTTCCACGGCTACGTTGACTTCCAAGACTTGGCTGCTCATGGCGAGTTCACCAAGGTAGTTGGACGACGGAACTGTTCATGCTTCGGGCTTCTTGTCGTTCTCATTGCTGCTGCGGCTGCTGCTGCCGTTGATGCTGCTGCTGCTGCTGCCGCTGCTTTTTGCTGGTGCCGGTGCTGGTTGTAGTGTCGTCTCCGTTTTCGCCATTGACGTCGACGATGTTGTTCATCATCTTTGGTTACAAGAACTAGAAAGGCTACGAGCCCGACCGTGCCGAAGATCAAGGTGATGATGATAGCGGTGGTGAAGAGACGACGACAACGCTGGTCCTGACATTGGAGATGATGGTGGTACTGATGAGGATGGGAATCGTTGTGCAGACCACCAGTTTCAGTTTCTGTTGCTGGTAGTGTTGTTAGTGTTCCGATGCTTTCACATTTGTCGTTGTCAGCATCGCATGTTGGTCGCATTATTCTTATCACAATCGTTTTGTGTTCGCATAGCTATTCTTACTTCTTCATTCGAGATGGTCGTAACAGTTTGGGCTGATGGTTTCATTTCATGCATCACGATTCGGTTGGCTGGGAACATCTGGCGTCAGAGCACTATCCTCGAGGAGGTGAAGTACAGTGGTATTGAAGCCAGCGTTCGCTACTGTTAAAACCGTCACGATCGCCACAGTGTTTGATTGCGGTTATTCCAACTCCAATTGTCCATTCAGAAAGGAAGGTGTTGATCCGAGTATGTCTCTTATCATATTTCTAACGGGCATTGTGATGTTTGATGATGATGTTGATGTCGCTGATGGAGACGACTGCTTGTGCCACTGTCATTGTCATGCCTGTTGCCGTTTGGAGTATGCGATTTCTGCAAACTTTGGCAGCAGGTCCGGGGCCTCTGTGAGGCGATCCATGGCAAAGTTATCCAGTACCGCTGGAGGGCCCCTCACCAGGAGAAGCTTCGTGAAGTAGCCACGGGCAAAGTGGCATTCCGAAGAGCAAGGCGTCTTGTGCTTGGAGGACGCGGGTCTAGATGTCGTCGGGAAGAGGATGGAGAGTGCCACACTCGGAGCGTCGCCTGGAATTCGGCAGCAGCAGACCTGCTGTGTCTGAACCTTCTCTTTTGAGGTGCCAAGGCCAGCATCCAATGTTTGCGGATCCTTCTCAGCTGGCTGGAAGTCGGTCCATCGCTGGTGCCGGTGTTGCAGGTTAGACAGAACCAAGGTCGTTTCACAAACGTGCGGACCTCGCTGCAAGAGATGCTTTCCGCACAGTTTCGAGCGTGCCTGACCGAGGAAAGACATGCCCACAGGAACCCGAAGCATCCGGATAGCCCTCATCCGGAGGACACCAGGACCTGCAAGTAGGCACAGAAGCAACTCGGGGACTTGTAGGACGCGCTCACCGAAATTGGGGTGCTCTCCTACTTGAGGCCGGGCTGGGAGGAGAGCTCACCGCACGACACGTTGACACTTCTTTGAATATTAAAGCAGGCATCAGTCGAACGTGCCTGTTTACTTGCCAGGGACCCAGAGCCTTGCATACAAGATTTGACAGCAGGCAAGTGTAACATGGCACATGGCATGGGAGGCTTAGAATGCTTGGAGCTTTCCGCGATGGTCGCCCTGACCGTTTTGTTGTTCTCCCTTGCCTGCTCTGTGATCGCGGTTAAAGTTGTGGTTCGAATGGGGCCGCGTCTATGTCATGAAACTGTGACCCGCCAGATACCCATACGCTTCTGGTGACAGAGTTGGTCTCAGATGGCGAGCTCTTCAACCATGCGCGAAGCCCGACCGAAGACCATATCAGAGCAATTTGCAAAGATCGGCAGCATCTGCAATCGCACTCCAGAGAACCAAAGCTGCTTAGGTGGCGAGCGGTCGTCTGGGCACGGATGAAAGAGTGGTGAGAGGTCTCATGTGGCTGCCTTGTCCTACTACCCAACGTTGGCTTGTGGCATGTCAAGCTTTGGTAGCCCAGGTGGCAGCTCTTGCAGGGGACCAACTTCCTCCATGCACATGACATTGGCCTGGTTCTTTGGGGGGCACTTGTCTCAGAGCATCTCGCCGAAACTTGCCGTGATGCCAGGCCACAGAGACATCTCGCTGGAGAATGTCCTGGTCTCTTTTGACAGGACAAGCAGACGGCAGACGGGATCTCGCTGGCTACAGATATTGGGATGCAAGTCAACTAGCAAAAGGGTCCGAAAAGCCACGATGCCACGATTCTTTTTTGGGTGCAGATTTTGTTGGGTCCCGCTGCCTCCCTCCACAACCTCGTGTTCCGGGAAGGTGCTGGTGCTGATCGTTATGTCGGGTAGCCGTTAGAACGGCCTGTGGTGATAACTTGTCATTACATGTCACATTTCAACAGAGTGGGCGGGCTTTGCCCTCGCAGGGACGCGCGCTTGCCTTCATTTGTCGTCATGGGTTCTTGCAAGCCCTGGTTCTCAACCGTTAGTTAGGTCTAGGAGTCTAGGAAAGGAGGTCGCCTGTTCAGGAACATCTGAAACCATTGAGGGTGGAGAAGACTTTTTCGAGACTTCGACGGTTGGTCTCGTGAAGGTTGTACCGACTCGTTCGGATGTCTTCGCTTAGGGCGGAGATGTCGGTTGGGGTCGGTCGGTGCTCTCTCTTCTCTTTCGTTCGTTTGATGATGTGCCGTGGTCTGAACAGCGTTGTTTAGGCCGTTGATCAGTGAGCTCCTGCGAGCGTGGGTGCGACAGGAATCTTGCAACACCGCTGGTTCCTCGTGCCTGTCATCCCACCGCATCGGGCAGCAAAGTCATGTGATATTGCATTCCCAGCCGAACAGCCATGCAACACAGAGCTGACATATGAAGAAGGAGAATGCCAATATTGGTAAGAAGAAAATACGAAAGTAAAGCGGCCGGGTCTTTCGTAAAGTCAGCTTCGAACATCGTGCAAGCATGTTGCGAGACGGTGTTGTGCAAGAAGAGCACACGCAGAGAAAAGTATTAAGAATATGAGTTGACCCAGAACATGACTGCAAACATCCCAACGCACACGGGCACAACATGCTGTGCGCACAGCCAAGCCTCGGGGATGTCACAAAACCGCTGTTGCCCGAGGCGCGTTCCCAAGCACCTCCTCGTATCTCGCAGTTGTCCAACCAAGGAAGTCATCGTGTGTGCGAAGTACTTAAGCAGAGCGACATACACAAAAACACTGAATCAGCCTGGAGATCACGGTGCCACCCTGCGCTGGAGAATGTGCAACTGCTTGAGAGTCCATGCCGTTGCGCGGCGTGAGCAACCGTGCACCTCGACTGGTTGACGGGATATGCGCTGAGTGCTCTGAGTGTTGTGGCTGCAGGGACCGGGACCAGTTCCATCTTCGACTGATGGATTTCGGACAAGCTGTTCCGTGCTCGGTGCCGTCGTGCAGCTTTCAGAAGAGCCCTTGTTTGGTGCTGGTGTTAATTTGGTCGCCGAGGTGAGAACCCGCTCAGCCTGCAGGAGTGTGTTCCTGAGGCCTGGCGAACTGGACCCTGCCGGTCGGGTCACTGGTGTTGCTCTGCGAGGTACTTTCGGCCAGCTGGCAAACCCTACTACAGGGGCTCCTTGGTGACGAACGACGATCTGTTTCATGCTTCGTGGTGAGATGGAGCCTAAGGCCCAGAGGTCTATATTCCCGGCGATAATCCCCAGGCGCTTTGGTGTTGCAAGAGCAAGCTGAGCTTCACTCCTGGCAGTAAGCTTCCAAGAATTCTGCCAAGCATGTGTGAGGTACTTGTGCGCTGTCCTGCAACTGCTCAGGGAGGTGATGCCGCTCGTCTGAGATAGCTTCAACCGGAAGGGAGATCAGGGTTTGTTAGCTACAGGAAACATGGGTGCTCAGCAGCTAGGTTGTTTTCGTCGACAACCTCAAACGGGACGGGAGACCAGATGGCTATCGAAACGAGGCCACATGTACACGGTATGAGTCGAAAACTGGGTTGACAAGTGGCTGTGCCGAAAACACAGGTGCGGCTGCCACCGGATGCGATTCCTGGGCAGCCTGCAGCACAGCATCAGTATGCCAAAAATCAGGAGATGGTCCCAACCTGCAGCAAGGACCTGCCTCGCCGACACTTGGGGCTACGAGGCGGAAAGGATATCGAGGTACAGAGTTCTTTCACTTAATTCAGAGAGCAGGCGCCACCGCTGGACGTGTTTGCCCTCGGCGTTTGCTTTTTCATCCTTGCTTGGCAAGTGCCACCTTGGAGCCCATCCGGCCTGTTTCCGTAATGCTAATTGTTCGCTCTCTATGCCGTCATAGTTCGGCATGTCCATCCACGTCGCCGCCTTTCAGGTCGAGCCCTGCCTCTAGACGCTACTTTCATGTATGTTCAGCAGCGTGGGTCTCCCAGCAGCTTGTGCTTGAAGACGCCGCTGTCACCGCAACTCCACTAAGATGGAATTCCACCACTTCTGAACGCCTGGCATAAGAGACACCTCTCGCCGGAGGCTCTTGGCTCTGAGAGCGTGTTGTTGCTTCGTTACGCTTCCAGTGGGGCATCGGACAGGCGATGGAACTTGTGAAGGATATGGCGGGAATCTTAGTGTGTTGCGAAGGTCGGGTCCGTGTGAATCGATCTTCTGCTGCAGGTTGCCGCCGACCCGCGCCAGAGGCCGTCAGTGCAGGATTGTCTAGCATCTGCGTGGCGGGCTCCTTAGCATGAGGGGCCATGTACCCACGCTCTACACACACCATGTTTGTTTTCGTGTGCAGATCTTTTCCAGGTTAGTCCCACTGCGACATGATCCAGCTCAGCCCTCGAAGTGCTTCGATGCATCGCTGCGCGACCCTCTTTTGGCCCTGGCACTTCGGTTGCTGGATGTCAAGGTGCCCACGCACCCTGCAGCGGCCACTGAGCACGGAGGCTCTGAGAGAGAGCGAGAGAGAGAGAGAGAGAGAGAGAGAGAGCGAGCGAGCTGTCCTTTGGCTGCGTGCAAGCAAGAGAGCGGGCCGTCGCGTCTTCGTTTTCGCCCATGCTTCCGAGGTGCTGCTTCGTCAACTGTTCCTGCGGATGATATGGTGACCGAAATGGCTCGGATGGACTTGGGCGCACCCTGCTTGGTACAACTTCTTGTTCCGCCAGTATGGTAGTTGTGGCTGCGGACCTTAGGCACCACAAGCGTGATGCCGGTGAAAAGGTTGGCCTTTGTTCGCATGCTGGCTTTTTGATATCAGGGACTTGCATGTTTCGTGCCAGTAGCGTTAGGCTGCGGACTCTTCGTGCTTGGATCTCAGCTGAAGCGTTTCCTGTTGACTCTCCTGCAGATTGCATTGCTCTGGGAGTTTCGCAGGTGGCTTGGGAGTGTCGTCTGAGATGAGCTTGAAAGTAAACTGGGACCAGTGGAAGTGGATGCTTCCACCTTCACTGGATCTTGCAGTGCACGTCGAGTCTCTCAGCTTCTTTTGAATTCCTGTGGCAGAGGAATAATGAGTGTCAAGCAATGTCAGAGATCCTGATCGCAACTTGGAGCCGCAAGCCTGAGAGCACCCGAAAAGTCAGAACCATAGCGAATCGCGCAACAGTTAATGCAGCCGGTTGGAATCATCAGAGCCACATGTGGCTAACCTTCAGAATGGCGGCTGTGCCTTGAGCTGGCAAGGGATGCTGGTGTCGGATACCGTCTGACCAAGTATACCGACTTCAGGGTGTTCGCAAGTGTCCGGTAGACAGATTGGGCAAGCATGTACTCGCATGTTGTGCTACAAGCAGAGCATTCCATAGATTCACAATCTCGGATGAAGAGGGAGTATGAGTATGAGTAGGCCACTTTATACGAAAAATGTCTCAGCATGGCGACTGTCAGACTCTTAAGGCTGCTGGGGTGTTGTACAATGAAGGCGATGCACATGCATAGAGCTGCAGTGTTGAGTCTGAGCTACTCGTAGCTGGCCGTAACCACATTCGATGACGAGGACGGCGTGTTCTTTCAATCGTTGACGATAGTCGGTTTACGCATGAAGTGGATTCTGGCAACGGTGCTGTGTCGGATCGTGGCCTTTTCTCAACCGTGTCGATCCAGCCTGATTTTGGGTAGAGTATCGCAGAGAGTGGCTAGTGTCAAGTTCTTCGACAGCCGGCACTCTGGGAGGCGTCTCCTTTTTCAAGGGTAGAGCTTGTTCCTCCATGCTGCAATAGTGACGCAATAGTGTTTGTCAAAGCAAGCTTTGAAGGCTCATTGTGTGCTTCTCCAGTTCTGGCACGGTTGTACGACTGTTCGCAGGAATGGCAAGGAGGTGCGGCTTCTTACTGATTAGTTGCCCTGGTAGCACCGCGAATGTGATCCATTGTTCAAAGATGTTCAAACGGCAGAGCTTCAACGGCGTAGCAAATGTGGAAGCAGGTCACAGCCTGCAGGACAGTTTCGTAGCCGGGGCAGTGTCACCTCAGAGCATGAACGCAGAAGGCCCTTTTGGTTGAGAAACCGAGAGTGGCTTCCTTTAGCCAATTTTGCCACCCTCGCGCTGCTGAGAGGGACTTAGGGATGTCGTAAGGCTTAGATGAATAGACGGTGGCGGGGAGCCTCTGGATGGCTGAGAGCAACAGGCGAGTCAATGCTTCTAATGCGAATCTGAATCTCCCTTTTCTGTTGCTGGGCAGACCTCCGAGGCAAAGCCTGAGCTCCATGGGATTTCTCAGAGAGAGATTTCCATGTAGGGCAGATTTCAGTCTGGAGAAACCAGGTGGAGCAACCCCTCCGCTGGCATCGCTGGTAAAATGTTCCTCCGCCTGTCGTGGTTTTCTGATCAGCCAAGACATCTTTAAGTCTTTAGCCGTAACCCTTTGATCTCTTCGATGCCTGCCAGTTCCCCAGAATGAGACGCGCACTGTCCAAGACAAGATCATATGTAGAGAGGGCTGGTTACTCGAAGCGGCTCTTGACATCTCTGCGAGCGGCTTTAGGCCTAGGGTCCACACAAAAATCCAGCACAGATAGACAAGAGACCTTGTACCCATAGCCGAGTTTCTTGGCCTGTCTGAGCCATGAGCACGTCAGATCGCTTGTACTTGGAGGATGCCTGCCCTACCTTGCAAAGACTTCTGCAAAGGCAGGGCATGGCTGCAGGTGTAGCAGGCGAATGCAGGCGATAGTGACAGGTCCTAAATGTCGTGGTCTGACAGTGCAACTACACTAACTACTAGACTCAGACACTCGACAAAATGCTTAGACCTTCAATCGAAGCCTACACGCAGTGTCACAGCATCACTTTCGTCTCTATTCTTTTGCTCATTCTAGGGTTCCGGGATCAAAAGAAAAGGGTTTGAGAGATCCTTGGAGTCCGCAGCGCTCTGACAGTTTGGTCGACGAGCCGGGCGCCAAGCTGGATGACAGCGACTTCCTGGACTTCGAGGAATCGGGTTCCGGGAAGGCTCCGGCTCCGAGCAAGTCGTCGCTTTGGCCCCGCTGCAGGTGGCCTTCTCCACGGCGATGGAGGGCGAGACCTTGAAACTCAAGGCTCCCATAAAAGAGCTGCGATGCACATACATTTATATGGGCCCATAATCTCTCACTCGGCACATCTCGGCACCAGGTGACCTACGAATTCTTGGCCAATGTCCTGGAGCACGGATCCAAGGATCAGTGTTGCCTGTGGGGACTCTGACCCGGCGGCGAGTCTTTGTGATGCAGAGCCCATCTAGTGCAATATTGCGGTATTATCATTGCAATAGTATTATAAAGTTACTACAATATTACGATAATGTTTTTCTTATAATATGACAATATTGTATACCGTATATACCTGTGTCATAGAAGGAGCTCTTGGAGCAAGTCTGGGCTGGCCTCCCACTGCGCTTTGCACCTGTCTCCGCTTCGGAGCTTGAAGTGGTTCTGAACACGGCTGCCCTGGCGGAGAACCAGGACCTGGCGACATGGCAGTCAAGAAGACTAGCTCCAAGTCAACTAAGTAGAATTTAATTCACAGGCATGCTGCTTGCCTTCCCTGTCCTTCCCTGCGATCCTGCATGTGCGATTATGCGATGCATCGAGGCGAGGCGCTGCGTGCAGCAGGTCGCCACCACCAGGATCTGGCTGCTCCTTGACAGTCATGCTGAGAGCATCCCTCACTCACCAGACGGAAGAATTGGGAGAGCCCTTGGGGGTGCTAGCGTGCAGGTTAGTCGGACCTTTGGTGGCGCCTTTGCGCTGGTTGCGCGAAGCTGTCGCGACTGGCGACAAGGCTGCCGCAGCTGCGCCGCAGAATGCCCAGCAAGCACGCAAGGACGCTGCTCGGGCTAAAGATCTGCCAGTCTTGTTTGGAGACATCTGCATCCAAAGACAAGGCCATGGGACAGCCGCCGGCGCCGATCGTCTTGCACGTGCGGCAACAAGAGACCTGCTGCATTGCCAGCTGCTTGGGTGAGGCTTCTGCTCTTGATGTGCGTGGAGTATTGAGTTGTGGTTCGTAAGGTACCCAAGGAGGATCGGATTCTGGTGATCTTGTCAATCCACTTGGAGGACGATGTCGATGTGGCCTTAGGTAGAGCATTTTGCCGCGACCTGAGCGCGTGCCAGCTCTCTCCAGCTCAAGCTTCGGGTGTAAAGTTGCATTGTGAGCAGTCCACAAAGAGTGACTCTTAGACGCCCTCTGTGGGGACTCTGACTGAGGCCAGGAATTTGCAGAGACCAACCGACGCTCGCCTTCAGTGCCGGCGATGGTTCATGTACGTAGGTTTTGTACTTCGATGTTCAAGGTTAGACAGACCCTGACGGAAGTGTCCCTGCAACCGAGGCAAGGGCAACGAGTTCTCCCTGCCGCCGCCCGCTTAGTGTACGTGTGAGGTAAAGGGGCCTCGGCTTTCCACGCGACTTGCTCCGGCTCGGCTCGGCTCAAGCCAATTGGCAGCGGTCGTCCCTCGATTGTCGGCCGACTGCCCTGGCACCAGCCGCTCGGAGCACTCTCAGTTCCCGTCCTGGCCCGTCGGCCCGTCGACCCGTCGGCCTGTGTCTTCTTGAGGAAATGAAGCGGATTGCAGTGCTCTCGGTGGCATACCTGCTGGGTGCCGCGGCAAGCGATGCTGCGCCGAAACAATACCCAGTAACGAAGGCCACAGGGATGCGCAGGTCCTTTCGCCTTGCACCTTCCCGGACCACCGGAGCGCTGCTGCAGGTTGTCAACCTGCTCAAGGATATGCAGAAAAAGCTCGAGGAAGAAGCAGAAAAGGACGAAGAGGTTGACGAGAAGATGAAGTGCTGGTGCAAGGCGGGTCTGTGATGCTTGTGTTTTCCAGTGCAGCGCGAAGCGTCGACGTGCCGTGCCTCGGGCTTCCTGCGTTGTGTCAGGAGACGGAGCAGTCGAAGGCAGAGACGCTCGGCAGCAGAGCCACGTCGGATGCACGGTGTGACATCTTTTTGCGGCAGTGCAGATTCAACTCTCATGCATTCAGTCTTGAGTTCCTAGTCTGTGCCTCAGGAGCATCACCAAGATGCAGTCGGAGATGGCCAACCTTGGCGGCCAAATCGACACCTCCGCAGCAGACAGCCTCCGGCTCGTGTCGGAGCTGAAAGGTCACGAGGAGGACCTGGCACCTCGGCGGATGCGCGGCTCTGGAACGAAGCCACAGCGTGACCCCACGGCCCCACGATGCGCTGAGGCCTCCAGCCAGACTTCGCTGGGTGCGGCCGAAGCTCAGCGAAAGAAGCAGCTGGCAAGCTACGAGGACGAAGTGAAGGAGATGGAGGCAGTGAACGTCTTTGCAGCGTCTGCTTTGCAGCGATTCTAGGCTTGACATGCTTGACAGGAGTCGCTCACTGGTGTGAGCGGTGCCTTGCACACTCTGAAGAACAAAGCTTCCTTCCTCTCAACCTCCGCACCTCAACTGGCACTTGCCTTGCTGTGGCCTTCGTTTGCGACAGCCCATCTGTGATTGTCCCAGGCATCGGCTGCCAAGCAGGATGCATTGGAGCTAGTGAAGCAGCTCCAGCGGAAACATTCGAACCTCTTGAATCTCGGTGCCGTTAGTGCACAGCAGGCTCGCAAGTCGGTGGTTTTGCCCGTTTGCCCGTGCCTGTCTTTTCAAGGATGGGTGTGGTGACGCCCCGGCAGAGGAAGCTAATGCTCGCGATGACCTCGAAGCGCCTCGACGTCGATGCTTCGATGGAGGGGAGCCCGGCGACAGGCCAAACCAATAAGCACAGCCCCCCCAGTCTGTTCGTTGCTTGCGCAGCCTTGTTGCAGGAGAGGTGGTTGGCGTGCTGTCGTCCATGAAGGACGGGCCTCGACTGTTGAGCACAGCACAGCACACAGCTTTCGAGTGCAGGACACCTTCGAGCAGAATCTGAACCGAACGCGGGCAGAGGAGGCAGAGAGCACGGAGACGTTCCAGGCTCTGCGCAAGGCGAAAGAGACTGAGATCCACGCCACTGAGGAGGCACTGCAGAGTGAAACCTGCATAGTGAGGTGGCGGGCACGTGCGTGGGCTTTGCCAGGCCATCGTGTCCAAAAAGTCTCAGAAAGCCGAAGCAGACAAGAAAAAGGCTTGGGCAGCCGAGACCCTGCAGGATGCAAAGGCAAGTTGCGACAAGCGCGTGCTCTCTCTCTCTCTCTCTTTCTCTCTCGCTCTCTCGCTCTCTCTCTCTTTCAAGGTAATGTCATCGTTTCGTATCATCGGAAAAGGCCAGCCTTCTCTCCGACCAGCAGTTCCTCCAGGACGCCAAGGACATCTCTGTGCTTTCTCCACATGTGTGGGGGCTTCCCGCACGAGTGAAGTGCGACAGGAGAAGTGTGCGGCTCACGAGGCGGAGTACGCAGAGCGTGTGGCTGCACGCAACGAAGAGATCACCGGCTGCTCGAAGGCGTGGACAGTTGATGGAGCCAGCCCACAGCATCCAACTCACTTCTGCAAGGCCGTAGCCATGCTCAGTGATGACTCCGCACGAGACACATTCAGTCCGCGACTGATTCCGAACTTCTTGCATGGTTCGCCTTGACTCAAAAGTCGCGATGCATGGTTTTGCAGCCTAGGCCGAACCTTCAATGCTGGCGCCATGTTTCTCCAAGTGGACGCCAGCAAAGAGCACCGGGTGGCTGCGAGCGAGACCCTGTCGGAGGCAGCCGCCACGTTGCACGACTCCAGGTTTTGGCCTCGGCGGTCTTGGCTCGGGGACACAAGCAGTCTTTTTTTCACGGCCCCGAATCCGAATGCTCTCCTCTCCGAGGCTAGCGGCACTGGCGAGGATGGTGCGCACCGACTCGCTGGATGCGGTCAAGAAGGCGTCTGCGGCAAAAGGACTCTTCAAGACTTCGAGCAAGCATCATGCTGCAGGAAATCGATAAGCTGACGGCCCAGTTGAAGGAAGTGCAGAAGGACAGGAGAGATCTGTCTGGACTGTGTAGAACTAGAGCGTAAACTGAAGCCGACTCAGGACGAAGTGGAGAGCAAGGACTCCTGTGTCCAGCGCCTTCACGAGAACACTCTGGCGACTGGGCTTGCAAACGAGCGCTGCCGCTGTCTTCACCGTCTTCTGTGGGTATCCTGAGGATACTGAGCAGTCGACGGTAGCCAAGACTCAAAGCGGCAGCAAGCTGGCAGGCCTTCAGGCCAGATGTCTGCACCGACTTGACTAGTGACTAGCATCAGGTTCAGGTCATCGCCTGCTTGCAACAATAGGATCTCTGCCGGGTGACACGACTTCTGAAAACCAGTAATCCTTCGGCTCGCAGTGATTGATTGTGTTCTTGCCGTTGCTCTAACTTGCTTTTGGTCTCGTTGTGCTGGCAAACACGACTTCAAAAAAACACATGTCAGGAGTGCAGTTCCTGTTGTGTTCCTGAAGGACCTGGTAGCAACGAGCGAAACCTCGGCCAAGACGCTGTCGATGGAGATCGAAGACCTGAAGTCAGAGCTGAAGACGGCGAAGACCGACATGGAGCTGAGGCAGAACGAGCCACTGGGCTCAGCCTTGCGGACTTGCCCTGGATCGTTGGGACTCCTGCCACAACTGAGGTCTCATGCCATGATCGAGGACCAAGTCAGGACGCAGAGGCGAGGGTACTGGGATTTCGGGATGCCCCTCCGGCCATTTTCGGACCTGTACTAGTGGCAGCGGAGACGATGGATGGTCATGGTCAGGGTGATGATGGCAGTGGCAGTGAGAATGACGACGATGAACATCATGATGCTGATGGTTCTGATGCGCATGCGGAGCGTGACCACGACGAAGAATAAAATCATGATGTTTCTGCGACGCCGCTCTTTCTCTGACAGCCATGTTCGCGTCTTTGGCCCTGCAGGCTACTGACTCGCGCAGCAGACGTGTTGCACGGCGTGTACGGCGCCAGCCTGCTGCAGGCATCGGGAATGGAGAGGGTTCAGGGCCGAGGCTTTTGGGCTGTGCTTGTGGGGCGGAGCTTGTGCTGAGAGGAGAAACCCGAAGGGTTCAAAGACTACCAGCGCCAAAGCGGCTCCGTGGGCATCATCTCCATGCTCCACCAGATCATTGGGGATGCCAAGATCATGGAGACAAAGGCGAGGGTAAGCCTCTCAGATGCTGATGCCATTGCAGCAGCGCACCGAAGTCCTTGTTGGGGAACGTGAGTTGTCCTTTGGTATCCGGCGACTCTGCAGCGGCTAGGCCTGAGCGCGCAGCCCAGGCAGACCTCAATGCATCCCTTGCTGACTATCAGCGCTTCAAAGCGGATGCAACGTCTGCAATTGCCAAAAAGGAGAAAGCGGGACGTTTGTGAAGCCATGGGTTTCCGGACATGGAGATTCCACAGGAGCAGAGTTTGGTGGACCTCGCTGTGCAGAAGTCTGAAGCGAAGTCCGATGCGCTTGAGATGAAGAAGGAGGCAAAGATGGGATTTGACTGCTTCCGACGGAATTAAATTCAGTGCATGGATCATGCTGTGGACGAGGTCAAGAGGCTCAGTGAGGAGTTGGATGACCTCTCGGCGACAAAGTCTGCACTCAAAGAGGCCAGAAGCTGTGCGGTTTGTAGCCACTTCGGCAAGGTTAGCTCACTTTGGAGTTGCAGGAGTGTGACTTCCTCGTCACTAACTTCGAGTTGCGACAAGATGCCCGCTCCCAGGCGCCCTTTCCTCGTGCTCAAAGCCGTGTTTCTCTTTCATGGCACGTCCCTTTATAACCCTTGGATCCCTTGGTTTACGTGGAGCGCATAACTGCATCGACAGCTCGACAGCTGTGCATGTGCACATGGTAGCAGAGCGCCACCAACCTCTTGGCTGCGCTTATGCGAGTCCTGCTGCATGGAGGAAATTGAAGCTCTACACACGGCGAAAGCTGTGCTGAGCAGCTTGGCCGTACATTCGTCGAATCACCGATTACAGCTGCCCTGGATTCACTTCGCTTGCGCTGCTGTCGGTTCCATTCCCTGAGGTGGCATGAAGACGGATGGTGAAATAGCATAACTTGGGCGGCTGCATGTTCGACCCGGAAGACAGGGCAAGAAAAGCTTGCAAGTTCTCATTTCCGGGTTTCGGTGCTTTGCGTCATCCTGCAGTGGTGACCCGGATGGATTCCAAGTTGGTTTGCGAAAGCTCCCGAGCAATCGGCTCGAAGCATGGATGATGCCTCGACGCAGAAAGACCCACATAAACGTAAAGACGGACTGCACTATCATTGCTTGCGCACTTCTGCCATTCACTGGTAGCGCAGTCGGATGACGGATGGCTGAATGCCATGAAGCGGCGACCTTGTTGCCGGAGACAAAGAGCACAGAGGTGGCCGAGGTCCAGAGGTTTGGTTACGCCGTTTCTCGTAGCTTGCAGCTTTGTGTCACCTGACTCCTGACCCCTCTACTCGTACCCCTCTATGCGTTCAGGCACGGAAGAGGCGACGCAGAAGTGCCCTCTTAGCCCTGCCAGCGCTGCTTCTCGCAGTGTCGCTGGTGTGGTGGAGGCTTGGCGGCTCAGGAGTGGCTCAGGGATTGCTGCGAGGTCACACATAAAAGCAAGTCCATGGTGTCCAAGAGCCTCAGTTCGGACGATGACTGTACGAGGCATCAGTCGACCGCTAGCTCACGCAACTTGGAGCCTGTGGCCCTTCCGGACGTTCAGCAGCTGAGACTCGGCAGCTCTCGTGTCTCATGGAGGCTTTTGCGTAGCGTCGAAAGTTGTATCGGCTTTGACATGTGTGCAGCACTTGCCCCATGCTATGCTCAGGATCAGTTTGGCTGCTGCTCTGGATCCAGAACAAGAGGTTCTGCATGCCTTGGGCTTCCAGAACTCAAGCGACGACTTTCGAGAATCGGAAACCCGGCAGGAACCAGGAGGTACACTTTAAATCCGAGCTGCTTTGCCTTGGTGGGTGCCCACGTCCGGATGTCCGGTCCGGTCCGGTTATGTCCGGTTATCTTCTGAGGTAAGGCGCAAGCTGCAGGCTGCGGGACTGCAGCCTCTCAGGGAGGCCCGCCCGCTGCTCCGCTATATATATATATATATATATATGTATTTTATATATATATATATATCTATATCACTCGCTCTCTTTTGCCTTTTTGGCCTGAAGGCTCTGGAGGAGACGCCGACGGAGTACGATCCAAGCGCCAACATCGGTGTGGCGGCAGCTCGGCTCAGCGCGGCGGCTTCTCGATAGGCTGATACGACGGGATTCCTTGGCGAAGCGAGGTCTGCGTTGTGGACGTGGGCCAGGCCTTCTTCCAGTTGGGCCAAGGGCTGATGGCGATCAATGCAGCCAGAATCAGCTGCGTCACTGGTGCCAATGTCAGTGCTTGGATTGCAGGAAGAGACAGTCCAACTGGACTTGGTTAGCAATGTATTTGGGCAAGATTTACAGTCTCAGAGCCCTTTCTCCCAGTGTGTTTTCGAGGTGCGGCTGACAAGCAGGCGCGTGGTTTCAGGTATGAACATGTCGTGTAAAGTGCCAGTGGCCCATGGTGTTCAGGCTTGCAGTGTCTCGGTGTCATATGCGATTGCGGCAACCCGTCTGCAGTTGGCGCCCTTGGCTCCTGCTCGCGCTTGCAAATCTTTTCGCTTCATTGCAAGATTGTTGTGAGTTTTTTCTTGCCAGCGTGCTGACGGCCGAGGGAATTGTGTGGGCCGTCAGCTTTGCGACGGATGCCATCTCGCAGTGCGCGGGCTCCTTGAACCTTCAGGCAGTTGCTCGACTCTGCAACTACACTCAGAAGAGGGAGAAGGAACAGCGGGGCCCGCCGCGTTGTTTGGTCCCCTCTGAGGCTTGTGCCACGGATTTGACGGTGAACCTCGGCTCCTGGGCCTTTCTGTCCTCCTCTATCAGTTCCATGGTGCTCAACTGCCCCACAAGTCGCTCGGAGTGAGTTTGGCTCGGCCCCCTCGGCTTTCAGCTTAGCTCAGAGATGTGCGGAGATGAGGCACGGAACCGCACACGCTGCAGTCGCTGTCGAAGCTTGGGCTGCAAGCTTCTGTGTTTTCTCCCTTATTCTTCTCGCTCGGTACAGAGATGTGCCATTCTCTGACTTTGTAATCGTTCCCTTTTTTGTTTCTCTCTCTCTCTGTGCCTCTCTCTGGGGATTCCGTGGCCGACTCTCCTCACATCTGCAGCCAAGGATGCTCGGGGGACGACGCTCAGGCCAGGAAGTCTGATTTGCTTTGATCTAGCAAGGCCGTAGACATGTGCCTTTGGAGTGGAACTCCTTGCAGCTTACTTGGAGTCGCGGTTTCCTCCAGGGCGGCTTGAGGTGTCGATGATGTTTCAGGGTGCCTCTGCCGACCCCGGTGAAGCAAAGCCCCGGCATAGTCGCCGTTGCCAGTAAAGTAGAATGGCGTTCAGTCAACACACGGAAGCGAGCCTTTTGTCCCGAAAAAGCAGGTGATGCAGATGACATGGATGTCAAGAAACTTGCGCCGGACCCAATCGTGGAGCGAGAAGCGAGCACGCTGGACATGATAGAAGAGATCAAGCAACACAAGGAAGACGAGGCAAGCCGAGAAAGCTTGTGATGAGAGTGGCCCACGTTTTACGATACCGTGTCCTGTGCGAGGAGATCCGGAGTGCACTGAAAGCGACCTGCTTCTTCGACGTCGGCCATCCGGCTTCATCAGATTTACAGCAAAGACTGCGACCGACTGTGGCTATGGGACAAGACATTGCAGTGGTTCTATGACTTGTCCTCGTCGTCCAGCGGTGATGTCATTGTGTCATGTGCAGCTGCAGAAGCCTGGGCAACGGGTCATGCACAGCAGCTCTGGATTCTGAGGTCATGCTGCATTCTGGGCCGCTCGGGTCGGCACGAGCATCACTCAGGTGCCGGTGTTGGATCCCTCGCCCACTTCTCGACAGTTTGCTGCTTGACGGCAGGCCACTTTGGATTGCACAGAGGCGAACTTCGCCAGTGCAGGCGAAGCAGGAAAGATTCTCGGCTGGCTTCGGCATCGAGTCCTCCTCGAGTGCATCTGTAGATATCGAGAAGGAGGCATGGAGATCCAAGGATGTCCTGCTCAGTTGATGTCAGCGGAATTGTTGGGGCCGCTGCCTTTCTTGGCAGCACCATCGCTCTAACAGTGGCTGGCTGCCCAGCAGCGCTTGACAAGGACGGGAGCTCTGCCAAGAGTAGCCGCCCAAATCTGAAGGTCTTCGCGCTCAGACCGCATCCATGCATTCAAACCCATACCCGGACGGGAGAAAGGAAGCTTTCGAGCAGGGTGCGGGTCACGCGCATGGAGTATGTCGGGATGATACGATAGAGTTTCCTGCATAACAGGCTTGCGATGAGTCTGTCGGACGTCGAAATCTCAAGCGGGGACAATGTCCCGGCACAAGATGCGGTTGCTGCGCAAGCATATTCCGCCGTAACTCCGAAGGACGTCAGCAACACACTGTGTGCAGCTGCTATCATCGACACCGCAACATGGCGGAAGGACTTGGATTGTCCTGGCAGTTGCCTGTGAAATTCACGTATTATGCTCCTACTTCCCAAACCGAGGTTGGAGTAGTTGGATACCTGGCCCAATCCTTCTCCAGCATCGGGTCAACCTGTCACAAGCTGGCTCAGCATGTGTGAGCTATGCTGTCACATGTTAGTGCATCTCGACCCCAATGCGGGTTGAACTTTGAGGCCAACGTGTCTCTGCTACTAGTAGCTTTTGTGTGGGCTTCTTTCTAGCAGTCAAAGCACGCCCGATGGAAGCCTGCGCGAAGGAGACTCTGATAAAAAAGAAGACTCTGATGTTGGTGCTCTATGTCTCTGCAAGGGTTTATTCCCCGCTCTCTGGCGAGCCAGTGTCCGAGTTTCACGTCTTCTGTGCTCCGGCTGTCCTCAGGTGCTCCTTCCACGAGGCCAAGGACAAGGACATGTTGAGCAACTTGCGAGGCAATGGCACTCTGGCACGCTCTCTGCGCTTTGATGAAAGTGTCATGTTGAGACGGGTTCCGTCTGCTCAAAAGGCTTGAACGTCAGCACAAACCCCAATGTGGGCTGGCTAACCCTGACGCTGACTGACCAGTCGGAGCCTCAGCAAGAGACCTCTACATTGAAGCTAGGTACTCGTAGCCAGTCATTTTCCATTCCAACTTGCATGTTCTGGCGTTTCTAGCTGCAAGAAGAGCATCCCCCTACAAATCTGCAGGGCAGTTCAGATTTGTCAGTGTGTGATTTTGCGTGCGGCCTTTATTGGAACAGCCATGTCAAACTTCGTTGTTTTGCTAGTGAGACTATAGTAGGTGACACCAGGCCAACGATGGATGCCGCCTGGCGGAGAGCGAAAGAGAGAGAGTAGCCATTGGACCTCCTCTAGGCTAGGGGCTCAAGTGCTTCACCTTTGCTTGGGGGCCTGTTCCACTCTCTTGCATCGGGGGGGAAACATGGGGTTAACTTGAAGTTGTGCACTTCAGGGGAGCCCGCGTGTCTTTTTTCCAGCCATGCTTGAGTCTTGTGTCTGCCGCTGTTCCCTTGAATTGGCCCTCCGGAACCTGAACTGGCCCTCGTCAGAGGTGGCAGACCAGTAGGGGGTCGGGGCATACTGCCTCCTTTCGGAACTCCTGGTGCAAAACCGAAGAAGCATGCGACTGGATTGGCATGTCATTGTCTGTTCACAGTGGGTCTCAGCGGATCTCCTTCACGACTGCCCCTTGGGTTCGCATTCTTCGCCTCATCTGTTTACCAAGTGTTTGTGTCATCGGACACCTTCACTGTGTGTTGCGGAGCTGCTCTTCCTCGGTCAGGTTACAGTATCCTCCAACCGCACTCGGGATTGGTGAGTGGTGCTTTCCCCCCCAACGTACTATCTGCAGAGGCAGCAATACAGGACCACGAGTGATTGGTTTTGTTGCGCTGCTTGATTCGGGGTCCTCCAGAGGAGGCTGCAACGCCCCAGCAAGACCCAGCAAGATGCTTCTCGCTTGGCTCCGTGAGGCACAGGTGACGCTTCAAGGAATTCTTTCCTTGATAGCAACGCGGGGAGGCAAAGCCCGAACTACGTCACATTGCGGAGGAGGCCAGCTCATTCTGAGACCTGCTTCCACAATCCACAACAGTAACCAGGCAACTCCACAGGGGGGTCGCTTGCATTTTCTTGCTTCTACCTGCAACCTGAATTTTTTTGGGAAGCAAGCCAGAGAGACAGAGAGAGCGAGAGAGATGGCGCTTTGCAAAGCAAAGAGATGGCGCTTTTTCGGGGGTTGGCGGTGATTGATCTATGCCTCAGAGAGAGAAAGAGAACGCGACAGTTTTTCTTTTCCCATTCTTCTTCGCTCAGTGAGAGCTAGGGAGAGAGCTTGCTTGCTTGTTTGCTGGTATGGGGGGGAGAATCTTCTGGCCAACCGGTCACATCCTCCAAAGTCTTCCTCGTGTTCAGTCGAGCTTTTGGTGACGCCGTTCTTGCAATCCGCCGAGGGTGAGGGTGAGATTGGGGGTGGGGGTGAGGGCGAGAAGCTGAGAGCCATACAGTGTCTAAGCGTGACACGGTTTGATCGTTTTCTCCCTCTGTCACTCTCTCTCTCTCTCTCAGTCTCTCTTTCTCTCTTTCTCTTTTTCTTGGTTTGGAGGAAAGGCCGCAACCCCTGACGCGGGCACAGGTGCATCCCCGCTTGTAGGTGTCAGTAGTGACAAACGCACAGAGGCAAATCGGATTTCATTGAAAAAGCGGACGCCCTCGGTACATCAGCAACAGAACGAAGGAAATGCAACACTATTCCCTTTTGACGCCTTATGACATACATCGGAATACAATCAGGACTCTCTCTCTCTCTCTCTCTCTCTCGGAAATGCCTCCCTTCGTCGCGGCCTGCGAAACTCCTCTTGGTGGTCGCGCCTGTGACATGTGAAGGCCAAAGCGCCTTGTCTTGCATGCCCGAGAGACGAAGAAGACAGCATGAGCTAATAGGGTCTCACGTAAGGTTAGGCTATCTGAGCTCTGGAGCGCAATTGAGGCACGTGCGTGGAGCCACAGAGGAAGGGACACTTGCGAGCGTGGTGTTTCGAATCTTCACAGAGGGTCGTGCAGAATCCGTGTCACGCAGTGAGAAATAGCAGCGCCTTCGACAAGTTTGAAAGAGTTGCCAGGAGCGTCTGTGGGCTCTTGCTCGTCCTGCCGGATGCGCAGTTTTGGATTGCTGTTCGACTCTTTGCAAAGCGGTGGAAGCCTCGAGGTCATGACTTTCAGAAACTTCTTCCTCTTCCACCTGTGTCACCCTTGGCAGCCTTAGCAGCCTGAGCGGATGGTAGGAAGTTCCCATGGATTCTGGATGGCTCCCAGGAAGCACACGAAGAGCTACCTCCATTCCAGGCCCGGCCCCGCGCCCCGAGAGCAGATTCAACGAGCCCACGGGACCCGCTTGGAGGCTCCGGAAGCGTCTTGACCACTGGCAGCAGCAGATCAGCAAAGCTCGTCGACGCCGGGCCCAGGCTCGAAGACTCGAAGTGTTGCCATTATTATTATTACTATTAGTATTAGTATTAGTATTAGCATTATTAATATTAGTATTATTATTATTATTGTTATTGTAATTATTAGTATTATCGGTGTCCGATGCTGTTTTCCTTACCGCAGCTGCTGTCGACTGGAAGCCTTTGGCTGCAGCGGGAAGGGCACCAGGAAAGGTGCACGGCCTTTGAATCCGAAACTGGAGCCCCTGGAAAGCTCCAGCCTTGGGTCAAAAGGGAAGTCGCAGACTCGGCGGGCTTCCGCTTCCTTCTCTTCTCCCGTTGTCTTCTTGATGGCCGGACCCGGTTGCGATCCTTTGCGCCCGGGCCCAAGAGACATCGCTTTCGGCTGCGAGGTCCAGCCATGGCCAAGCCCAAGCAGCGTCTCTTGACGACGCTGCTTCTTTGCGCCGCCCGGCAAAAGGGAAACGTGGGAAGGGAAACGTAGACTTGAGAAGGAGACTTCGTTTAATTTTGGGCCGGGCCAGGGAAGATTTTCTTGTTGGCAGGTGGCGGCCATGTACTTCGGGCAAAGTCTTCTGGAAGCCTTCGTGGCACCAGCAAAGCAGGTGACTCCGTCGCGGTTCATCGTCCGAAGACTCAAGCGTTGGATTCTAGGCATCTCTACGATCACGAGCACCCGCCGTGTCCATGCAGTTTCTCCAGCAAGAGCCGAAGGCTGGCCCCACACCACTCCACTCGTGTTTGCAGTGTTCTTATACACAAGGAGACGCCAACTGAGCCGCCAAAAGGGCAACCATCGTCACCGCAGGGCCCTGGCACCTCGTCGCGGCACCACATGGATGCATGACTGTGCATGCAAGTTGCAGCTGCAATCGGGTTCATCATTTTAGTAATCAGACAAGAAGATTTGTTTCCTACTGTTTTCCTGCTTCAGTTTTCAGCAGCTGAGGGGAGTACATCGTCATTATCGTCCTACGCTCAGCCAGTGCAGGAGTGCAGGCAGCTGCAGAGGCCTTTTGCCCCCAAAAGGTCGGTCTCATCATCATTGCGGCGCCCTTCTTCCTTTTCAGCCCGCCGGACGACTCGGTCGAAAGATTCGTCGAAAAGGAGGTGCATGCACTGCAAACTACACTCAGCGAGTGTTCCTACATGGCCTCTCTGCAGGCAGTGTCGGGCATTTCATGAGAAGCTGACGAGGGTTTGGCAAACTTATTCGTTGCATTCAGCTAGCTTGTATAAATTACACCTGAGACATCTGTAAAAAGCACGAGACTTTTCAGCGACACGGCTCGAAAACAGTGATGCTCGAGTCTGCTGTGATGACGGGAGCTTGCGGTTCAGCCCGGACTAGCCTTCCCGCTCAAGCTGACAGGAAAAACGCCGACTAATCAGCGGCAAGGTTCGGCAACACGTGGCAACATGTGTCATTCTGCGCGTCGACGGACGCAGACTTGACCTCAGGAGTTCGTGCCGCCTTCTCGCAGCACGGGGGCGGTGTGAGAGCTTGCGCAGCCCGCGGCTGCACGCAACTTGCATCGCTTCAAAAAGGAACAGATCGCTTGTCGGTGCTCTTCGGCGCGCTTGTGTCTTGTGCGCTTGAGCGGCATGCATGGATCCAGTGGGCACGAGCATCAGTGTGTAGTAGTGTCTCAGCTGCTTTCTCCCAAGCATCGTAGTTTCCAGCTCCTAAAGCATGAGTACTGGCGCAAGGCGATTCTGAAAGAAGCTCTGGGTACTACAGGCAGTCCATCAGATTTTCTTGCAGTCGAGCCCGAAGCAATGGTTGGTGCAGAACCCCGTCTGCAAACCAGCTCGAGAACGGAAAGCGCAGAGTCATGTCAGACGATGTCAGACGCACGTGGGGAAGGCAAGGAGAGTAAGCAGGGGGTGGCGGAGCTTGTCGTAGCAATATGGGAAGCAGTTGAGCAGAGTAGGCAGATTGCGCCTAAGCACGCCGGGTGAAACCAAAGAGAGCTCACGGGCTGTGCATGCCGGCATCATCGCAGCCGAATCCAAGCTGCTCCGCCCAGACCTTAAGCTGTGGTAGCGGTACAGGGGCTGCGCGCAACCAGAAAGTGATTGGGGAGCTACAGCTGACATGACACTCGAAGACCAAGCTTGCAGCTCTTCACTCGAAACTTTTGCGCTCGTTTTCGCAGTTTGAGCACACAGCGCATGGCAGCACGGCCTCCTGCTGGCACAGGGGCGTCGGAAATTGTTAGAAAAAACAGCGAAATGCTGTAAACCTGGCTGACAAACGATGCAAGCTGCGTTTGGGGGCAAAAGCTGCAGCGAGCACCTCTTTTCCACAAGCCTCACACCTACAAGTTCCGATGAGAGAGGTATGCATGGCATGCAGGCAATGCAAGACACACGTGCCCATGTAGGTATGAGATATTAGACTACATAGTAGAATACCATACTGTATACTACAGCATACTACCGAGTTCCCAGGCTTTGGCACCGATTGTGTGCACCCTTAAGGTGGTGTTGGAAGGCTGGCTGCTCAGCAGACACAAACACCACAGACATAATACTGCTGCACTAGACGCATCATGCTCCCGAATAGGCGCCAGGCGTGCATCATGCAGCAGGTGGCCCCAGCCGGGCGGAACAGGGGAACCCGCTGATGCTCATGATGCTGGCCCCGTGGGCGCGCATCATGAGCATCAGGCGGTCCGGCCGGGTGTGGCCGAAAATTTGCGCGAAACGATTGCGACAAGACGTGTGTACGGGATGTCCATCGGCCGTCCAAGGGATGCAGCTGACGCTCATGATGCTGGCCCCGGGTGTCGGAAGTTCTGAGAAAAAACAAAGCGAAATGCTCTAAATACGGTAAAAACATGCGTTGAGCGATGCAAGCTACGTTTGCAGCCGAAAGCTGTCCCAACAACTCGAGAGACTCGTAATGATGCTGAAACGGGGCAGCGATTGTCTGCAACTCCGATGCCGCGGTGTCCCACTCCCGCTGCACCCACTCCCCCCGGTTTTAGGCTTCGCTCGGCAACCCCCAGATTCCACAAAGGCGCTTTCCGTCATGTCTGCAAGTCAGGGCATACTCGTGTTGTCCCATGACATGTCTCTGGGGATGATTTCTTCCATGAGTGTCATAAGCCGTAGATTGGGTGTGCCTGTTTGCAAGATGAGCTAGCATTGCGTCTGCAGGCACCTGTAGCCCGGGCTGCAAGGTTTTGTCCTCCCCACCCTGTGCTATTGACTTCAAGGTGATAGATCTTCCGAATCGGGCTTTACCCTCTAGAATCGGGCTCTGATTTTGTGGAGAAGATTGGAGATGATTAGCGTTTCCAAGGCACCGTTTCGCTGGGCCTCGTGTCAGCCAAGGACGGTGCAACGGCCGGATGGCTCTTAAAGCGCTCTGCTGCTTTTCGCGACCGCTGGCTTCGTCATTGGTGTGTCTTCAAGTACAGCCAGGACGCTTCCCGTTTTTGTTGGGGAGTCCCGTTTGGATGTCCTCACAGCTCAGGTCGAACCGTTCGGGATCGATGTTTTGCATCTCGTTTTCAAGAAGCTGCGCAGACGACGATCGGATAAGACGTGAAAGTGCCTGCAGCTTCGGGAGGAGGAGGATATCTTGGTTCTGGATTGCCACGCTGACGAGTCGTGTAGGCATGGGGACCATGGAGGTCACAGTCCTAGACCGCCTGTATGCTGCGTTGCTTTTTGTAAAGGAGGCGTCTGTACCACATCTGCATGGGCAAGGGCGCCCGTGTCCTTCGAATACAGTCTGAGGAGATCCCCGCTGTGTGGAGCTCACCTGCCTCTGTGAAACGTTGCCTCTGATTCGGCCAGTGTTTTGTCTGAGGCCTTTCTGAAGTTCAAGCAGCAGCGTCCACACAGCTTGATCATCGACGCGGGAGCTCTGCATCTCAACGTGCATAGACTATGGGCTGCAGGGTTCGGTTCTGTTTTGACGTGGTGCAAGCAACATTGCAGGAGATGGGCGCCTTTGCCCTTTCTTCATCTTTGACGCCATCGATGCAAACAGCGATTTGGCTGCAGAAGGCGCTCCCGGTGGTCGGTTCTTAGTAGTCCTACGTGCAAACCTCGGCCTTAGGTCTCGAGTCTCGAGGATCGTAGACTCAGAGCCTTCCCTGAGCTCAGGCCATCGCTTTTGGAATACCAACGTCACCTCGCAGCTGCAGGAGAGCTTGGAAGGGCCCATGATCCTAGTCTAATGCACCGTGGTGCAGTGCCGGTTGTGCAGGCACTGGATTTGAAGAGAAGGTCCGGCTGTTTGCCCTGTTTTCAGGGCCCCCGGGCCTCGCTTATGCCCTGTGAAGGCGTCACCAGGAGGAGCAGCTGATGCTGCTCGCCTACAATCGGAGGAGTTTGCAGAGATGGTTTCTGGACGGAGCTTTATCCGAGGAACGATCGAACGAAGATTATAGATTCCATTTTTGTAACTTGGCTGACCCAGGGTGGGTGCCCTCCCCTGAATCCAATTCGTTTCGCCTCGCCTCATGTTTGAAGCTCATGTGATGTCTATGCTTCTTCGGAAGTTGTGCTTCTTACCTTACATCACCTCACACGAGTGCCTTGATGAAGTTGCCTTGAGCCGCTCCGATACCTGGCTGCATCAGGCCTGTCTGGATCAGCGAAAGGTTGGCAGCTTGCCTGCACTGGCATTTCCAGTGGAGAGATATTAATTGGTCCCCAATGCTCCCCGTCGCAGGGTTTTCACAACATCCAAGGCACTGTTTGGTCGGATGGCTTGCGGCGCTATGCCGAGACGTGCCCGGTCTATCGAATCATCAAAGGTAGATTGCAATCATGGAGCACACAGGGCCGACCAAGAGCTCGTTTACTTTTTGGCTGCATCACATACCTGGCCGTTGGAAGAGTCGTCGGCTTGTTCATGTTCGCACGTGTAAGGTCCGGCTTCTCGGGTTCTGATGCGGAGTGGCAGCACGAGTTTCGAGAGCTCTGCGAAGATCGGGGGTGGAAGGACAGCACTGGATGTACTGGCTTCATTAGTGCTGTCCGCCTAGATAGACCCGACAGAGCAAAGTATCTATGCAGACCCCCATGTAAGAATGTGTCGCTCCCTCAAGATGCGATGGGAAACAGAGGCAACGAAGGTAGCACTTCTCCACAGCTTTCCGCAGTCGCGCCTTTCGGTCGCCGCAAGTGGGCAGCTGGTAAAAGCTGGGCGAAAGGCATCATGTGTCAATGTATCAGAAGAGCTGCGCAGGAGGAGAAAGAGATCAATGCTAGCCAATTCGGCAAGCTGCTTCGCGGAATGCTGTTCCAGTTCTCATGCCCGTGGACGACTTATGATTTGCTGGCATCCAAGGTTCCTCAGCAGTGACACCAGCGTCTCGCTGAACGAGCTCTGCAAGATCCTCGAATGCGTCCAGGGATTATATGACCCACCGGCAACGGAGACTTGGCCGTGTATTTTCAAGCAGAATATATCAACGTCTTCGAAGAGTGCTGCGAAATCCCGGACTGAGTCTTCCAGCCCAAGTAAGGACTCGTGGGTAAAGCAAAGTGTCGTCAGCCAGAACTTGCAGCTCAAGAGCAGGCAGACACGTGCTTTTGAGCCCATGGGTGAAGGTGTTCATTCTGGCTCCGGGGAGGTCAGATATCATCTCGGCGCTGTTCAAGTGCTTAAAGTCCAGAGAGACAGGCAATGCCCTGCGCAGACTGCTCATGTTCTGGAGCAGCGTCTTGAGTGTGAGGTCGGATCGGATGCGAAGAGCTGCAGCGCTGCAGAGCTGAATTATTCCATAGAGACTGTGGTTTGGATGGTGGGCCCGCCCTCTGAACGGTGGAGGCTACGCTACCCTCTCGGGCTTCGATGGCGATGATGAAGACTGGTCAGAAGAGTATCACGAGCTTTGTGAAGAAAAGGGTTGGGACAAGGCCGCAGCTCCCGCTTCTCTGATCCCTGCCACAGAGAGAATCCAAGACCCTGACAGGACGTCGGCTTGGCCCATGATGATTTCATTGCCTTGCTGGAAGACGAGCTTTGGAATCAACCACTAGGTCGCCAGGCGAACGAAGCTCTGTGCTCACGGAGCTAACCGGTTGGACTTCCAAGGACTCCATGGGATCAGACGACGAGCTGAAAGCCATGCTGATGGAGCTGCGGATGCCGCGTAAGCGAGCAAGGACCAGAGAGCGTGGCAGCCGAAAGCCAGATGGCTCCAGATTCTCAGACGGCTGGACATGAACGGATTCCGATTCGGGTTTCCCACAGTATCGGACCCCGCCTCGGAGCCCACGTACTTAGACAGTGCTATGCAGCGCCTGCAGCGCTCCTGCTCAGTGCATCTCCGCATGGCGAGGACCTTTGATCAGATGTCCCATTCGGCCAAGCAGAGTGCGGCCGGTCGCGTGCGATCAGAGATTTCCGACATGACGCGCCTCTCGTCCGGAGTTGAAGTTTGAAGTTTCCCAGGGCACAAGTCTTGTCTGAGAAGCAAAGCGTCGAAAGCACGGTAATGACGTTGCTCGTAGCTACAAGATCTTAGTTCTCGCACGGTGTCCGAGGAGAGGAGCTGGTGAAGGAAGCTTTCGCGTCTCTGGATGTGCGGCGGAATGCAGTGCTCGGCTCCCGAGAATTCAGGCGATGCTTGCGCCTTTGCCTTCGAGCCATCCTAGTCCTAGCCGTCCCACAGGCGCTATGCGGAGATGACAGGATACGATGGAGGCGGGACATGGAGGAACAGAGATGCTAAGCGGATCTGCACATGAGGGCGAGACTTTTCAGGAGAGGAAGCTTGGCCTGAGCTCTACAAGGAGCTCTGCGACGACTATGGATGGCAGCCCGGAGCAGGGGTTACATTCGAGCAGTTCACAGTGTCTCGGCTACATTATCCCTCACATGATATGTTTGTCGCACGGCATGCTAAGACCCAAGTGCTCTGAAAGGTCTTCATTGGCGACGAGTCGCACTCCTCAGACGATGAGCTGCAGCAGCAACCTGAGCGTGTGATTCTGGAAGATCGAGGGTATCAGCAGAAAATGCAGCATCAACCGCTGTTGGTTCCCAACTTCTTAACCGCAACTTATGCGAACATACATATATATATATATATGTATATATATATGTATTTGTTTGTCTATGTATATGTATGTATGCAACCCCCTCCTGAATCCGGCAAACGGTGTTGTGGCAGCCAAGTGTTCCATGTAGGCCTTCTTTTCTGCATTACTGAAACAGAAATAATACCACAGAGTATTGTCGTCGGTGTTCTTCTCGACAGCATGCATCCATGAGCACGGCAACGGAGTCCTGTCTTTTGCCCTTCTCTTTCGCAACATTGGAACAGCAATAAAGCCTCAGAGCATTGCCATCAACGTTGTTCTCGACTGCACGCACCCACTCGCGATTACGATCACAATTTCGCACTATATGTTAGGAGTATTGTATAGGTTTGTTGCATATTTAGATGTGAATGTATAAATGCCTAGCTCATGTTCAAGGAAGTGCGAGGATTTCGAGGTCTCGGGATCAGGAGTTTTTTTGGAATTCATTCGGGGTTTGGGTGACGAGTAGTGCCGTTTCCTTGACCTTCTTCAGATAGCAGGCAGGCTAATTTGCACGCTATTTTGCAAGATATACAGCTGCAAACGCATGTGACGTTGTGTAGTGCAATCAGAACAATTTTTGAGCAGTATACATAATTCCCATGTCATACGGGCGTGGTGTCGATCTTTAATTCGGAGCTCATAAACATGAGCCTCAGTACCTTACGCTCCGATCCCCAAACCCCGTTTGAGATCCCATCTCGGCAGCCCTTTACTTACATCCCTTTACCAACTTGTGTTTCAAGTCGCGCTCCTGGCTTGCTTTGTTCATCTGCTGCCTCCAAACGAGGCAATAGGGAACAACCCAGAATGAGGCGCCAGGGACAGGAATCAACCTGCAGAGGTTGCTTGGGGAAGCCTTGCGCAAGGGTGGCTTGTTGGGAGTCGCCATCGAAAACCCAAAACGGCTTGTGATGGAGAGGGCGTGCACGGCATCGTCGTCGCTTTGCCTTCCGAGCGTTAGTCAGGCAGTTCTCAGAGGTGACCGGGCCACTCGCCCTGCCGGTTTCCTCTGCAAGCCTGTGTCGGCGTGCAAGTGCGCATGTGCGTGTGTGTACACAAGTATATATATATATATGTATGTATATATGTGTGTGTATACATATATATATGTATATATATATATATGATGGACGGATGAGGATAGACTTCTTATATAGCACGGTATTGTAACATACCGTGCTACAATATAGTAACATAGTTCATGGTTTCTCATATCGAGTATGGGTTCTCGCCTGCAAGGGAGCTGGTCCTCGAGCTCCGGCTGCAGCAGGATGCCGCCCTCCGCCGATTTCGCAGCGCAGTCTACCGGCCGGGGGATGGGCACGGGGAATGCGCTTAGATTGTTGCTCTCGTTCCCAGCTGAGAGGGCTTGAAGGCATGAAAGAACCGGGGTGGCTTAGCCGTGCATGCTGGCCAATTGGGCAGGGTGCTCTGGTTGCTGCGCTACAACGGCAGCAAGCCACTCGCCTGCATCCGGATTTCCGAGTTGCATGCGCCGAAGCATGAATGAAGCCCAGCTTGTCGGAGCTGAGGCCTCCGAGTGGCCAGCTGACGCGACAGGACAAGCTCGGCATGTTGCGGAGACCAGCGGAGCGAGCTGTGATTCTGGCAGGACATCGAGAGGATGTCAAGAAAAGAGCTCATGGATGTGACTCGCCGCATCGGCAGACTATGCAGATCTCCTGCAAGTTAACCCCTCACGGCTTGATCCAATTCTAGTATATTCATAATTAGTATATGAAAGTGTATTACAATATAGTACTTTATATTGTAGTATATTATTAGTTTAGTGTAGTAAGTCCTGGGTGTCCAGGCTTTGTTCGATGCACTGGATCGGAAGAACACGCAGAAGCTCGACTCGAAGGCTATGCGTCAATTTGTGGTTCGGCTGCAGCTGCGTTGTCACCGGTTCGCTATTACGTTACTATTTTAATTATTGTTTTTGTTGTCATTAGTATCATTATCAGTTCCATTAGCACAAGTATCAGTATTCGTGTTAGTATTAGAACTAGTATTGGTATCAGTACTAATATGAATATCAGCAGGTTATTCGTATTGGTGTTAGTTCCAGTTAGTATAGTTGTTATTAGTGTTAGTGTTGTTATGTCAGTTGACCGTCGCATGCTTTCTGTCAAAAGGCACATCTCACGGGCTTCTATGGGGACGATGCAGACTGGGATATGGAGTTCCGTGGCATGTGCGAACATTTTGACTGGAGCGCGTCGGAAGGACTGTAATTCCCGGTGCTTGCTTTACTTCGGTTTATATTAAGTAAAGCAGTGTGGCAGGTAGACCGTAGAACTGGGAGGGCAGAGTCAAGAAAGATTTGGTGCTCCAGGAATAAGCAGATCCCAGTTCCGTCACTTCATTGGAGACGAGGACAACACTAGCACCAAAGACGGCAATAATGGTTCAGTGCACTCCACCCATGTGGTACACCCCGGTGATTGAGGTTGTCGCAGGGTCTGTTGCATGATTGCGGTTTTGAGGATGGGTACGAGAGTTGTTGGCCGTGGCTGAGTGTTTTGTTTCCTGTCAAACGAGGCAGTCCGGAGCTGCGAGTCCTCATTTTCAATCTGCCACAGAATCCCCGCAGCAGCCTGATGTTCTCGCGATACAAGGGCTTGGGCCGAGAAGAGCTTCTCGACGAGCTCTTCACAGCCCTTTCCGAGGGTCCAGAAATTCCTTCTTCCAAGCTGCAGCGTGTGGCTGAACTGACCGATTCCGGTCGTTTGAGCAGTAAGTCGCTTACGAAGTCACAGTTTCTGGAGATTCTGGGGGACGACGCGCAAACCAGCACAGAAGAGCTCCGACGCGTGCTTTTGACTGTTCGAGGTGATGTGCAGCTTTCTAGCAAGCCATGGAGCCGTCGCAGCTTTGCGCAAGCATGGCGGAGTTCGGACGTGGCCAACATGGACAGACGGAGCATGATCTCGGCAATCTTTACGGTCCTTGATCATGCGAAGAGCGGGACTTTGCAGTCGGACGCCATCAAGGCATATGCAGAACAGACGGGGTTTGAAGGGACAGATGCCGAGTGGGAGGAGCAGTTCGCCGCAATATGTCATCACTTTGGATGGACGCAAGGTGCAGGCATTAGCCAGAGTCAGTTTAATGAGCTCATAGAGGACGACGATGAAACGGATGACGACGAGTTGCGTCAAGCGTTGCTAAACTTGCAAATGCAATCAATGCGAAGTGGCCGCCCATCTCTACTGAGGTCGTCGTGGCAGAGGAGGAGCTTACTGCACCTTCAGGGCCTGGATGTGGCACAGACCCTGACCAGGCCTGAATTGATATCAAAAATATTTTCCCTGCTTGACGCGGCGGGGCAGACGAAATTGTTTTCTGCGCAATTCAAGAAGTTTGCTGACTTGAGTGGCTTTGAGGGCAACGCAGCGGAGTGGTCGAGCCAGTTTGCCGCAATGTGCGAGCACTTTGGATGGAACGCATCGGACGGAGTTTCCGAGACCCAGTTCATGGAGTTTGTTGGGGACGAGGTCGAGAACAGCGATGACGAGCTGCGCCGGGTGCTGGTAAGCCTGCAGGCACGTCACGGGCAGTCAAGTCGACACTCGGTAATCAAAGCCTCTGGGAGCCGTCGAAGCTTGATATGGGCTGACGGGGGGAAGATGGACAGGCCGAGCATGATTCAAGCAATCTTCACGATACTTGATGCCAAGAAACACGGCACTTTACAGTCGGACGCTATCAGAGCATATGCAGAGCAGACAGGGTTTGAAGGGACAGATGCAGATTGGGAGGAGCAGTTTGCTGCAATCTGTCAACACTTCGGGTGGACAGAAGCTGACGGTATCACAAGCAGCCAGTTCCGTGACTTCGTTCAGGAAGATGATGAAACCGACGATGACGAGCTGCGGCAAGCCTTGCTAAACTTGCAGATGCAAGCAAGGCCCGGTGGCCGTGCGTCCGTGGAGTCTGTGGTGCGATCATCGTGGCAGCGCAAGAGTAGTTTGGTGCATGTTGCCAGCGGTTTGGATGTGTCCAGCATGGACAGACGGAGCATGATCTCGGCAATCTTCGCGGTCCTTGATCATGCGAAGAGTGGGACTTTGCAGTCGGACGCCATCAGGGCATATGCGGAACAGACGGGGTTTGAAGGGACAGATGCCGAGTGGAAGGAGCAGTTCGCCGCAATATGTCATCACTTTGGATGGACGCAAGGTGCAGGCATTAGCCAGAGTCAGTTTAATGAGCTCATAGAGGACGACGATGAAACGGATGACGACGAGTTGCGTCAAGCGTTGCTAAACTTGCGGATGCAAGCAACGCCAAGTGGCCGCTCCTCGCTAGGATCGTCGTGGCAGAGGAGGAGCTTACTGCACCTTCAGGGCCTGGATGTGGCACAGACCCTGACCAGGCCTGAATTGATATCAAAAATATTTTCCCTGCTTGACGCGGCGGGGCAGACGAAATTGTTTTCTGCGCAATTCAAGAAGTTTGCTGACTTGAGTGGCTTTGAGGGCAACGCAGCGGAGTGGTCGAGCCAGTTTGCCGCAATGTGCGAGCACTTTGGATGGAACGCATCGGACGGAGTTTCCGAGACCCAGTTCATGGAGTTTGTTGGGGACGAGGTCGAGAACAGTGATGACGAGCTGCGCCGGGTGCTGGTCAGCCTGGAATCCTAGCAGGAGTGCAGGAACCAACTGTTGAGCCCGTGGCCAGCCACCAGCCATGAAGCACGGCAGGCTATATCAGGGACTCAGTGATAGGATGCCAAGAATCTTCGTCTCGCCACCGACAGCATGGAGAACTCACCTCGACGGCCGGAGGCCTGTGGGCCATGTTCTTTTGTGATGCATGCGATGGCGCAGAGCTCATCTTGGCAGGTGAGGTGTCAAGTTGGAGGTGAGCGAGGCGCTTGTCGGTCTGATCGATCATATTCCTTGGAAGCCTTAGTTTCTGCCGCAAACGTTTGTGAGAAGCAGATGCCGCCTCTAGCCACTGTACTCAAGAGTTTGGGAAAAGCCCTCCCAATCTTTCTTTGTCCCATTGCCCTACTTGCGTGTTGCAAGTTGTCCATTTTGCTCTGGCCTGAGCCTGAGAGAGTGGTGCTGCTGGGTGCATGCGATGCACGGAGGCTCTTGAAGCAATGAGTGGTTTCACTGCAACAGCAGCATGCCCTGCCCAAAATCTGGGCAGAAGAGGCAAGCAGCGCTGTCTACAGACAGGGCACCGATTTTAGTACTTGCCACGCTGTGTTTCCTGCCAAGGTCAGTTCCCCGCCTAGGGTCGCTATGCTCCTAAAGATTGCAGCTCTGCCGTTGATCTTTCTCGTTGGCGCTATCGCTGATGTAGAGGACATGATGGAGGAGCAGGGTTTGCAATCATGGTGGAACTTGGTGCCCGGAATTCTCACAAGCTTGAGCTTTGCTTGCAGCTGCCGGGCATGCATGAGGCACCAGAGGGAGCCTCTCCTGGGTGTGACAAGGCACGGCCATAAACTCGACGACGGGGAATGTCAGGATGCAGATCTCCTCGCTGCTGTGGAAGCTGAAGACTGCTTCAGTGAGGACAGCTTGCGGTTAGAGCCGTGTTGAGTGTACAGTTCTGAAGTCACCTAAACGGCCTTTCAAAGAAACGTATACCTCTGCTAGCGCCGAAGGACTGTGAGAGTGCGGATGGCCTTGCTTTGGCCCAGCTCCGGGCCAGCTACCTGAAGAAGGCAGAGGCTTGGACCTCCGAGTCACGAGAAGACTCGCCGCCTTCGCCCTGCCGCCCTGCCTTGAAGGCTGCGCCCAAGTACCAGTACTATGGTGCAGATGACTTGGATTTTGACGCTGCCATCCAGGACACTGCTGACTGCCAGTGACCGATAGCCCAGTGCTCCCATTTCGAGCACAGGAAGACGAGTCGGATGCCGGCATTGCGTTTGTGCAAACATCGGCAAAAATGGTGACCAGCCGAAAGTCGAGTACTCTGGTGGTGAGTGCGGATGGGAGTGTGCTGTCGGGCACAGAGCCTACTGGCCAACCGGTCTCCAGCGGCACCTCCTTCGCGGTGTCTGCAGATGGTCGCATGCATGTGGAGATGTGAGGCTCTCGAAACAAATCAAAGAAACTAGACCCGGGCCCCGGACTTCGAGACTCGTTCTGGCGGCCTCTGTTTAAAACGGCGGCCCCAGCATTGGCCAATCGGCACTGCCCTTGAGAGTCTGTGGGATCTCGTTTGGGATCCTTGAGAAACCTGATAGACAGCACATCTTGCGCATGCAAAAGCAGTCGAAGTGCTTCCACCTGCCTGCAGCTCTAATGCAGTGCCTTGCTGTGCAACACAAGCAGGCTCCCCCAGACTCCATGAAATCAGCACCCCCGGTATGCTGCAGTTGTGCTAGGTACCATACATAAGCTTCTAAAGCTTCTACACCTACTGCCAAGGCGCGTACGTGCAAAGGTTCTTAAAGAGTTTAAACACACCAGCTTCAGGGAGTGAGGACTTTTTCGGGAGCGTGCGACAGATTTCTAGACAATTGGCCATATATAATGGGCATTTATAGGCGGGGCAACCCCTCCTCCGATACCCCGCCCGCCGCCGCCCCCTCGCAAATGCAGCGGAAGTCTCTTTCCACACACAGCTTGTAAGTCCAGCTGCAGTGTACTATGCTAGAACTAGAACCTTGGGCAGGCAACATTGACAGTTTGCACTTGTACGCGCCCCGGCAGTCACAGCTCTAACTTCATCCCGGTACAGAGCCGTATGGGAGTGAAGCAAGCTGCGAAGTCGCTGTGCAGGTCTGGCCGTGCACGGTGCTCGGGGCACAGGTTCAAGAGGTCACTCTGCGCTCTCATGAGCTGCCTCTCCGTTGTCGTCCTTTTTTCAGGACGAGCTGTTCATGCAGAGTGGATGTGGATGGATGTGGTCCCTGACAACCCAGCAGCCGTGCAGCAAGGACGCGTCTATGGAGGAAGCCATGGGCGTCTGTGCTCGATCGAAGCAGAAGGCCAGGGAGCTATCGGATTGCTTTGCAATGTGACAGATGTTGTGGAAGCCGGCGGGCGGGGCCGCAAGACACGGCATGCCTGGCGGACTTCCGGGCGACAGGCATCAAGCGGAAGGCAAGCCCACCTTTCAGAGCAGACCATGGGAACCCTTCCCCCGCAGAAAACAGACCAATCCGGTGTTGAAGCTTCAGGTTCAGATGTTACCCCGTATGCTCGGCGTACATAGGGTCTTGAGGTTTCTGTCTGAGCTGCAGGTTTCGCAAGAGGGTTCAGGGGCCTTTGGCGTTTAGGGCCGAGGGTTTGAGCCTGTGGGCTGCCCTTGCCTGGGAGGCTTCTGTCGAATCTGAGCACGTGGAGAGATCACGAGATGCTGCTTGAGCGCAGGAAAAGCTCTGCAGGGACAGTGTACCCGGCTTTACCAACAGTAGGATCTGTTTGCTCACCGTCGCATGCACCATGTGCTTGCAGGAGAAATTTAAACCTGCAATCGAGCAGAGCTGATGTCAAAAGTGATGTCCTCGACCTCCGGCCTCGGGACCGTGCTCAAGATGTGGGAGACGCCCTCGGAGCCCGTAGTGGTGGAGGCGGTCCATTTGGACAGCCATACCTGCTCCTGAACCCATGGCGTTTTCCAAAGCCGCACGCTTCCCCAGCCGGGACTTTTCTACTCCCGGACCGGGGAGCTACAGCCCAAGTACCAGCCCGAGGCTCTCTGGCGTACCTGCGTACACTTTTGGGCAACGATCGAGACGTCAGAACAGGGCCACGGCCCTGTTGCCAACAGTGGATGTTGCAAATCTGCAACTTGCGCAGGAACTGGGCCGTGGTGGCATGGGAACGGTCCGCAGGGGAAGTCTGTTGGGAAAGCCCATTGCTGTAAAGACATACCGCTATAACCCCAAGGTCTGGTGCGACCCGGAAGAAGACCGGAGAGCATTGCTCAGGGAAGCGTTGAGGCTCAAGAGGCTGGAGCACCCGAACGTGGTGCAGGTGGTGTGTCTCGTGGCTGAGACGCGCACTATGGTCGGGTTTGGCATGGAGCAGCTGGGCGAGAGCCTTGCAAGGGCTTCTGACAAAGGACGACTAAGCGGGCGTCGCCTTGCCAGGGCCTTTCGGGCGACGTGCGAGGCTGTGGCATACATCCACGGGATGCTAGTAGCACATTTGGACATTAAGGAATCCAACCTGTGCTGTTCCCGTCCTTGGAGCTTCAATGTGAAGCTGATTGACTTCGATGCTGCAATGGAGCTCAAGAAGGCTGACGATATTCTTAACAGGTTTCCGGGCACCTTCGAGGCAGCAAGCCCGGAACGTAAAGCCAGGCAGCCCTGCCGTGCGGTGGCGGAAGATTTCTACATGACAGGTTATGCCTTCGACAATTTACTCACCAACACACCATCCGACCGCGCAGCAGAGTTTCTGCGAGCTCGAGTGATGCCTTTGCTGCGATGTGCTCATCAAAGGCCGTCCGTGCAGCAGATCCTGGAGACTTGGCACAATCCGATCCAAGCCGCAGCGGAGCCGGCAGAGCCATTGCCGACTCTTCTTGCGAGCGAACCGGCCAGTGGTGACGTCCTCACAAAGCTTTTTCAGTAGGCCCGCCGGCAAGACACGGCTCTCCACGGCTCTCCGAATTCTGCTGGCAAAGACTCTGGGCCCGTCATGAAAACGCCTTCGGGAAGAGCGAGGCAAGGGAGCCGTCGGGCGATCTTACAGTGGCTGAGCGATGGCATGACTTCTTCACCTTCGACTGGTTTACCAGTCCTGCTCGTCCTGTCCGTTGCTCCACAGGGAGCTTCTCGGTCTCGGAAACGGTTTCCAAGATGCCAGCAGCCCCTTGACGGCAAAGTGTCCACCCTTGGCAGCAAAGCCGATGCCTCGTTACCCGGCATGTGAGAATGGGAGCGTACGGTCGCCGCCAGCCATGTGACACTCGCCGCGGGAACCGAAAGCTTGAAAACACTGTTCGGCACCGTAGCACTGGGTTGGCCCCAGAAGTGCCCGATTGCGGAGAGATGTTGCAGTGGTGGCACATGGGGTGTAGCCCGTGCAATCGGCCCGCGCTTGACCGCTTTCGGCTCGAGACATAATCTGTCACGAGCTGGCGGGCGGAGGGCCCCACAGGCATCTCAGCTTGGAGCGCAATGACTTTGACTCTGACATCGCCTGTCCAGCAGGCCCCAAAGGCCCATGACAGATGCGGAATGGGCGGTCGAAGCCGCAGCAAATGAGAGCATTTTCTGCCCAAGTCAAGCTGTTGTGCCCAGGCGAATATGCGCCGGGTCCTGGGCCCGCACCTGGAGAACATGACTTCTGAGGCCTCGCTAGTACCTCCTTTCTTCCCTTCATCTCGAAACAGCTGTGGGGCTCAGGTCAAAAACTCCTGGGGTCTGGCTCGCAGTGAATCAGTGTGTGGAAATACTCACAGAAGATTCGCAAAGCTGCAGCGAGGTCCAGAGGTTGACCCCGAGGCCATGTTGCTGAGATGGCTTGAACCCTGGGAAACCCGGGTTGTTCATTGTACGCCAACTTTATTCAGCCTTCATTGCCTGTCTCAGAGGTTATGCCAGCGGCACAACTTGGCCCGGCGCTCGCTTGTAGTCCTAAACCCCAAACCCCTTACCCGGGAAGCGCGGACCTTTACGCAAGTGCACTTTGTGCCGAGGAAGTTCCGCCTGTATCTGTGCGGCGTAGACCGAAGGCCGAAGAGAGGCATTGCAGCTGCATTCGTTATAGTACATTATAGTACATTATAGTACGTTGTAGACACATAATAGTCGAGCAGTAGATGCTCTCGTATGTTGCCAATATGTTGTAGCCTAGTTTAGTACGTTGTAGTATGCTATAGTATACGACAGTATGTTACAGAATGTGTTACTAACTGTTAATATGTTCTAGCTTGTCATCGTAGATGATCGTTTTTGTCGTATACTATGGTGCATGTGTACTATCTTATTTGAGAGGATATTATAGGATGCTATAGTATATGATCATATACCATAGAATGTCATAGGTACATTATAGCAAGCTATAGTACGGCGCAGCGGCGAAAAGCCCTCTCTCTCTCTCTCTCTCCCCTCTTGCTGCAGGGAGCCTGCCAAGCCCGCAGATAGCGAGGAGCACTCGCTCAGCCTGGTTTCGAAGCAGCTTTCGCAGCCATGGCTGGGTGAGACGATATACGAAGACACGCAACTCGCCTCGGTGCAGGGCGGCAAGGCCACTTCAAGCCCCTCACAGTGCAAGGCCTGCGACAGGGTGCATTGTCGGTTCCTTCATTGATGCGAACCACCGCCTCGACCATTCCAAACCCCCACCCCCAACCCTCTGCGACAGTTTATCTGGCCAGTCCCACGAGTTCGACTTTGGACTTTCTCTCCAGACCAGCGGAGCAACGTTCAGGTTTTTTGCATTTTACGCAGGCTTGTTAGCTTTCTTCACATGGGAACTGGGTTTCTGGTGATTCACATTTGGATTACTTGTACTATGTACTGACACAAGCACATTTAGCATCTTTTGTTTTGCATGTTGTTCACGTTGAACGGGGCTGTAATAGGAGTTGGAAAACACAGTAGTGCTGTGCTTCTTGCTATTCGGCGCAGGGTGCAGCCCTCTTCGCAGCGCAAGTCTCAGGGGCTTGACTGACCCTGAAAATTTGTCAACATATTGCACAAGCCAGCCGAGTGAGTGGAGCTAACTTCTGCGAAGTAACTCGAAAGATCAGGGCGCGGAATCCAGTGCATGCGTAGGCGAGGATGTCACATGCATGTCGGGACACAGAAAAAGCATAGAACTCCTCCAGGACAGTCCATTTAAGCCCAACTTGCTTGATGTTCATTGCGTACAGCCTCAGCCCAAGCCCTCAGGCCAAAGCAGAGGGAGCCGCAGCCGCCGAATAGCGCCAGGCAGGAAGCCAGGGTGAGTGCAAGTGGCTGCTTTATGTCAGTACTCGCAACGACAATCACCATCGTAATCCATTAGCGCCACTGGTGGTGCGCCACCAGCGGTGCCACCACCAGCACCAGCAGCAGCAGCAGCAGCAGCAGCAGCAGCAGCAGCAGCAGCAGCAGCACCGCCACCACCAGCAGCAGTTACACTCGCAGCCGGAATGGGATCGAGAGGCAGCGCGGGAGCGGGAGCGTGGCCAGGAGCGGAGTAGTAGTAGTTGTAGCAGTAGCAGTAGCAGTAGCAGTAGCAGTAGCAGTAGCAGTAGCAGTAGCAGTAGCAGTAGCAGTAGCAGTAGCAGTAGCAGTAGCAGTAGCAGTAGCAGTAGCAGTAGCAGTAGCACAGCAGCAGCAGTATAGCAGTAGAGGTAGAGGTAGAGGTAAAGGAAAAGGAAGAGGTCGTGGTCGAGGTCGAGGTGGAGGTGGAGGTCGAGGTGGTGGTAGGTTTAGGTTTAGTACAAGTAGTAGTCGTCGCCATCACAGTCGTAGCCGTAGTCGTGGCCGTGGTCGTGGTACGCGTGGTGGAAGGAAGTGGAGGTCGAAGTAGAAGAAGAAGTAGTAGCAGCAGTAGCAGCAGTAGCAGCAGTAGTAGCAGTAGTAGTAGTGGTGCTGGTGGTGGTGGTTGTAGTGGTCGTGGTCGGTGGTGGTAGCGGTAGTGGAACGAAGTGGAAGTGGAAGTAGAAGAAGAAGCAGTAGAAGCAGTAGCAGCAGCAGCAGTAGTAGTGGTGGTGGTGGTGGTGGTGATGGTCGTGGTCGTGGTCGTGGTCGTGGTGGTGCCGCTGATGGTGGTGGTGGTGGTGGTGGTGGTGGTGGTGGTGGTGGTGGTGCTGGTGGTGCTGGTGGTGCTGGTGGTGCTGGTGGTCGTGGTCGTGGTAGTGGTAGTGGTAGTGGTAGTCGTGGTAGTAGTAGTAGTAGTAGTAGTAGCAGTAGTAGCAGTAGTAGTAGTAGTAGTAGCAGTAGTCGTAGTAGTTAGTAGTAGGAGTAGTAGGAGTGGTAGGAGTAGGAGTAGGAGTAGGAGTAGGAGTAGGAGTAGGAGTAGGAGTAGTAGTAGTAGTAGTAGTAGTAGTAGTAGTAGTAGTAGTAGTAGTAGTAGTAGTCGTTAGTAGTTAGAAGTTAGAGGCAGTAGTCAGTAGTTAGTAGTTAGCAGGTGGTAGTTAGTAGTTAGTAGTTGGTAGTTAGTAGATAGTAGTTAGAAGGTAGTAGTTAGTATTTTGTAGTGGTGGTAGTAGTGGGAGGAGTAGCTTGATAGTAATAGTCGGGCAGCGGAAGGGGTAGGAGAAGGGGTCTCAGGGGTAGGGGTAATAGGGGTAGGGGTAGGGTGAGACACGGTAGGGTAGTGGCCTGGTAGTCTTCGTCGTCGTAGGAGCAGTAGCAGCTGTGGTAGTATTAGTAGGAGGAGGCGGAGGAGCTGGAGCTGGAGCGGGAGCTGGAGCGGGAGCGGGAGGATGATCCAAGGAGGAGGAAAGGAGGAGGAAAGGAGCAGGAAGAGCAGGAGGAGTCGGAGTCGGAGTGGGACTTCGTGTAGGAGTGTAGGAGCAGCAGCAGGAGCAGCAGAAGGATCAGGAGCGGTGGCAGCTGCAGGTGCAGTGGCAGCGGCAGTGGCAGCAGAACTATGGGTGTGCTGACTGAGGAATGACATGTTTTCCCTGTGGAACAATAATAATAAGAAACCTCTGGCAAGAACATTCTGGCTCGACAGACTTCCTGTGCGTCTGCGAATGCATTCGAGGTATCGCGTCTTCGGGGTGTCATGTTAGCAATGATCTGCGATTTCTGTGCGCCTGTAGCACGAACCGTGGGAACCATCTTCGTTCAGAGCTTGCTAATGCTGAAACCGGACGTTGTGCCATGGAGAGACAGGTAACGCAAAGAAACGCAGGGATTCAAAACCAAAGCGGCTGAGACGGAGGGAGTAAGCTCGAGCTCTGTGAGCTCGAAGATGCCTGGCATCTAGTTCTTCAGGCTGCCTCCTATTGCAAGCAGACATACAGAAGTGCTGGCCTCGGATGGCCAACGTGAACCTCTGCTTCGCAAGGGTTTCAAGCTGCCAAGGCCAAGCGAGCTCCAGAACCACGTCTTGGCCCAGGGCAGAGCCTCCCGATCCTCGAGGAGGAGTCTGAGGCCCGTGGCTGCCTTGGCGAACGCGAAGACAAGCATGTTGCGTGGCAGGGCTCGCCGTCCCCGTCCCCAGTGCACAAGACGGAGCCGCCAGCTATGGCGCTTGACCTGGGGGCCCTACACCTAGACAGCATGCAATGATGCTGCCATCCGGTCCGGTGTCAAGGCCTTGACGACGAAGCCTTGGAAGTCCAATCTGAGCATCAATCTGCCCGAGCCAACGGCCCAGAGCAGCCGGGCGGCGAAGACAGCAGCGGACGCTTCTTCTACGCAGTGCAGGTGCAAGCCTTGGGCTCGGACCCTGCAGACCGTTCAGGACAAAATCGTCTCGGACGAGCGTAGGTGGGAGAAGGGCACATGAAAATCTGCCACGTTGTGAAAAGCAGAGGCAGCAAACCTGGAAGGCATACCAGTCATTCCGAGCTGTTGAAGGCCAACAATCAACGTACCCAAGCTCAAGTCAAAGCATACCGCAAACCAGCTGGCGGTGCTGACATCATGCGACTCACCGAGGTATGCAAGACTTGATGGCATACATGCACCAGGACTGGCAACGGCAGAGAGATAGGAAGGGGCAACTAAGCGACTGATGTGAAGCAGCACGACCTTCTGCATTACAGCGAGGAAATGCGTGGGCAGTTCTTATCGAAGGCCACGTGTGACTAGCAGAGCCTGGCACGATAGCGAAACGGAAGCTTGAGGTGCCACTTTTGTCAGACAAAGTTCTGGATGCCAAGACACAGTTTCGGCAAGCTCCCAAGATTTGGAAACTCTGGCTTGCCAGGTGCTCCGAAGAGTTTTAGTTTGACAGAGCATCTTCCGACCAAGCTTCGGCTCACAGCATGTCGGCGTGGCCCGCACGGCCCTCCAACCGCAAATGCAACAGAGCCACCTGGCAGACAGCACGCGCAGCGGACACGGCGTCGCAGGAACCGCTGGAGTTCTTATGCTAAGAGTGCGGCCCTGACTCCGAGGCGAGATGATTGCAGACGAGCCGGAGAAGCCGGAGAAGCCGCCGGTCACCTTTGAAGGTGAGAGCGAGGCTAATCGCATAGTTCAGGAGCCCCGGGGCCCGACGGACCACAATTGCTTCCTCCCTCGTGGGCACCGCGGAGAAGCTAATTGCAGTGCCTTGCTGTGCAACACAAGCAGGCTCCCCCAGACTCCATGAAATCAGCACCCCCGGTATGCTGCAGTTGTGCTAGGAACCATACATAAGCTTCTAAAGCTTCTACACCTACTGCCAAGGCGCGTACGTGCAAAGGTTCTTAAAGAGTTTAAACACACCAGCTTCAGGGAGTGAGGACTTTTTCGGGAGCGTGCGACAGATTTCTAGACAATTGGCCATATATAATGGGCATTTATAGGCAGGGCAACCCCTCCTCCGATACCCCGCCCGCCGCCGCCCCCTCGCAAATGCAGCGGAAGTCTCTTTCCACACACAGCTTGTAAGTCCAGCTGCAGTGTACTATGCTAGAACTAGAACCTTGAGCAGGCAACATTGACAGTTTGCACTTGTACGCGCCCCGGCAGTCACCAGCTATAACTTCATCCCGGTACAGAGCCGTATGGGAGTGAAGCAAGCTGCGAAGTCGCTGTGCAGGTCTGGCCGTGCACGGTGCTCGGGGCACAGGTTCATCAACTACCCTCTTCAAGGTCACTCTGCGCTCTCATGAGCTGCCTCTCCGTTGTCGTCCTTTTTTCAGGACGAGCTGTTCATGCAGAGTGGATGTGGATGGATGTGGTCCCTGACAACCCAGCAGCCGTGCAGCAAGGACGCATCTATGGAGGAAGCCATGGGCGTCTGTGCTCGATCGAAGCAGAAGGCCAGGGAGCTATCGGATTGCTTTGCAATGTGACAGATGTTGTGGAAGCCGGCGGGCGGGGCCGCAGGACACGGCATGCCTGGCGGACTTCCGGGCGACAGGCATCAAGCGGAAGGCAAGCCCACCTTTCAGAGCAGACCATGGGAACCCTTCCCCCGCAGAAAACAGACCAATCCGGTGTTGAAGCTTCAGGTTCAGATGTTACCCCGTATGCTCGGCGTACATAGGGTCTTGAGGTTTCTGTCTGAGCTGCAGGTTTCGCAAGAGGGTTCAGGGGCCTTTGGCGTTTAGGGCCGAGGGTTTGAGCCTGTGGGCTGCCCTTGCCTGGGAGGCTTCTGTCGAATCTGAGCACGTGGAGAGATCACGAGATGCTGCTTGAGCGCAGGAAAAGCTCTGCAGGGACAGTGTACCCGGCTTTACCAACAGTAGGATCTGTTTGCTCACCGTCGCATGCACCATGTGCTTGCAGGAGAAATTTAAACCTGCAATCGAGCAGAGCTGATGTCAAAAGTGATGTCCTCGACCTCCGGCCTCGGGACCGCTCAAGATGTGGGAGATGCCCTCGGAGCCCGTAGTGGTGGAGGCGGTCCATTTGGACAGCCATACCTGCTCCTGAACCCATGGCTTTTTCCAAAGCCGCACGCTTCCCCAGCCGGGACTTTTTTACTCCCGGACCGGGGAGCTACAGCCCAAGTGCCAGCCCCAGGCTCTCTGGCGTACCTGCGTACACGTTTGGGCAACGGTCCAGACGTCAGAACAGGGCCACGGCCCTGTTGCCAACACTGGATGTTGCAAATCTGCAACTTGAGAAAGAGCTGGGCCGTGGTGGCATGGGAACGGTCCGCAGGGGAAGTCTGTTGGGAAAGCCCATTGCTGTAAAGACATACCGCTATAACCCCAAGGTCTGGTGCGACCCGGAAGAAGACCGGAAAGGATTAGTGAGAGAAGCATTGAGGCTCCAAAGGCTGGACCACCCGAACGTGGTGCAGGTGGTTTGTCTCGTGTCTGAGAAGCGCA